GAAAAAAGAAAAAATCGCTGCTATTATGCTAGATTCTCATTGGTTGGAAAAATCCATTTTGTGTACATCAATATTTGCAATATTTGAACTAAAGTATAATCTTCAATATTGGATTACTCTTTATAGATTAGCTTAAATAGATCGATTAGCAGATTGGTTTTTTTTAGCTATTGATGAAGGTTTTGAATTTGCTCATGCTTGCTATTTATGTTTTTCATCTCTTATTGAAAGAGTTTTATATTGTTTTAAATATATTGGTCGTTTTCATTTTACCATCTTATATATTATAATAATTGATCTTTCAAATAATTTTCAAACAAGGCATCTTACATTACCACATATACATTCAGTTTATTTTTATTCAAGAAGAGAATTATGTATTAATTATTGATAAAGCTCGTATAATTGATTGAACATCTGATTCATCTAACGAAACGACTCATTTTGCTCATGATGTTGTTTATATTGTTTTATGATAATGAAAGTAAGGAACTGTTCTCATATCAAAAAGCTGTTAGATAGAAAATTCGGTACCATGCTTATTATAATCTCAATATCGTCTCACATTGTCATTGATCTATATTGAATCTTTTATTTTTCCATAAGATTCACCAGTAAATTTTCTAGAAAATTAATTATACAATAATATATTCTATTGTATTGAAAGGAAAAATATTTCTGAGTTAATTTAATAAGCATTCAACTTCTACAACTTTCAAACATATTTTCAACGCATCGACCAGAATAAATGAGCTTTTCAATGTCGTTTTCGGCTTCGATAGTTTTGAACAAAACTTTTATTCAAAAGATTCAGATTTTTAATCCCTGGAAATCTATCGACAAATGAATATTATAACGATAGAACAAGAAAATAAACTTATTAAAGTAATACAATATAAAAAGAATACAGGTATTCTCTGTAAAAAATCTGATTTATATTTCACAGTTATTTTTTCAGCTATAAGTGTAAAAAGATTTCATTTAATAAAAGAGGTTTTTCAATATTAATAACTTTTATAGATTCAATCGAAGACAAGAAAGAACAATAAGCAATATTATCATTAGTCAACATGATAGAGTACGATGGAGTAGTACATGTTTGTAAATTAAATCTACGTAAACTTGACGATGCAGATACTCGCAGATCGACAGTGACGAACTTCTTATACGACTTTAAACAACTATTTGGTTTCTCTATACGACCATGTTTGTTTTACTTGGACTGTTGTAGGATCTTGATGCTCAGTACAAAAAGAAAAGAATTTTTATTAAAGAACTTTCTTATTCCAATACATGTCGTAAGTTAATTTTTTATTCGTCTAGGCGAATCTTTTATCTGAGATTGAATTTGTCGATTGTTAGATTGAGGAAATAATTCAAAACAAAACTTGAAGAAATAATTCGATAAACATAAAATTTAGATTATTGTTGATAAATTCTGGCATAGTAGTAAGACTTTTATTGATATGTACAATTTTAGTTGATGAATTATAGAACAATTTCACTGATGATAGATTTCTTTTAGTGTAAAGTAGCAGCTTCGATGGAAAAAGATTATCAGCGCAGTTCGATTGGAACTGAAATTTCCTAAAAATTCGACTTAATTCTAAGATATGTAGTTAGCCTATGGCCTATATGCTTATATCTATAATGGTGGCCTACTTAGATAGCTAGTGACTGTAATGCATAGACTTTAAGTTTTCTTGGATAATCTGTGTTGAAAATATGGAGGAAACAGCAGTCTCATTTAAGTATGCTCTAATTAGCGTAATTGTGAAACACGATCTGAAAGGAGAGTTGAAATATGTAGGCTAGAAATCTGGACTCGTTTGCCCCTTCCCTCTTCAAATCGAATTCTATAGGGATTACTTTAACAGCTTTTTCAACCTAGTGAATTTTTGAATAATTTTGGTTGCAACTAAAAAATTATTGCTTGCATGTCTTGTATTAAGATTAATTTTAAGTGGCTCGTTTGATAATAAAATCGCTTATTTCATAATACTTTTGTTTATATGAATCATATTCTAATATTTATTTTGCTTGTTCACGAAAAACTTTTCCAAATAATGATATTAAAATTGAATGAATTTCAAATACTCGTAAATTTTGTTTGCTTTCATTAAAACTCATTAATTCATAATGATTTCTGTTCATCATTACTATAGATATGAGAAATTAGAGTCCCACATTCTCCTAGTTCATAAGAAGATCTTTTTTGTCAATTGAATTTAAATAAAAAGACGAACAACTCAATGCCTATGCTCACGAAAAAATTGAGTTCGTTTTTAAAATGCAAATGTAGGTTTTCTTTCATAAATATGCAACACAGTAGGAAAAAATTTGAAAACTTAGTACTTTCAGGTTCATGTTTCGAGTGCAACTTTTTCTTGATATAATAAGCGTCTTACAATCAGTAGATATGATCGACATATTTATACATTATAATCAACCAGTGAAGCATGTCGTCCATATGGTATTTATCCGTACGTAATGTAAGATATCATTATTATTGTAATTCTGTAATAAAACGATTGAATAGCCTCTAAACGTATAAGAGAAGTGATTATGTGAAAGAATGCATTATAGAACAGTCTTGATTATATTTCAGTGAACTTTACTGCATAAAAATACTCATTCAACTCTATTCCCTTATCATTTTCAAATGTTTCTTCTATTTTAAGTGAAATGTTTTATTTTTGTTAGATTCTATTCTTATGTTTCGTTTTTAATACGAATAATGCAGTTTCTCATATGAATTTCAACATGTTCGACACTTTATTTGGTCAATTTAAAATATTTTTTATTAAGAAAAAGGAAAAATGGTACAAATTTATGATACCTACTATAAACTCATTTTACATCCTTCTCTAAACTGCGCTATCGTAGAAGGTTCAATAGTATCAAATTAACCGTAGATTAGTTCTAAATCGAATTGAATTTAAGTCAGTTTACTTATTTAGTATTCATTTAAATGTAACAAGTTTTTATTTTATTTTGATCGATAGGAAAGAGTGAAATGGAATTTCATTTCTAAGATGTAACTGAGAGAAAATGCTTCTTGCTCTGCTCGAACGTGACATAGTATCATGTAAAACCGTTGCATGACTGATCAATTTCGTTGCAGTCATGATGAGATTTCTTCGTAATTTATAGTCTATATATATTTTTTGATAATGTTATATAGAATCATTTATGACTGTTGAAACAATTCTCATTCTAGGTAAATATTATCAATAGTTAAGTGACGTGTTGCAAAATCAACACAGAATATACAAAATCAAAACGATCACAGAATTTTGTCGAGAAAAGCAAAGAGAAGTATTCCATTCAATTCAGATAAGAAAAACTGTCATGTGAAAAAAAACTTGCATTTTATTACGATTGAAATGAATTGACAAAGTGTTTTTTATCGAACATTCAAATGTCACATAATAAAAATCAATAGAACTTTCTATCGATATCTGTCTCACATTTTTCGTATAAAGCGAACGTATCATTTCTCTAAAAGCAATCCATTACATATGAGTAGAATGCCCTAACGTGAGATACATAGTTACTGAAACAGTTACAGACTATAATAAACTTTTCATTCAGTTACAAACTAGTGAAAAACTTGATGAAAACAACTAGTACGATTAAAATCACACAATGAATCAAAATATATACTATGTATAAAGAGCCATCCATATTGTTAATATTGAATTCTCATTTTTCTAGAATAGTATCTGCGTCGACGATTAGCTTTCAAAAAAGGAGCAAAAAAACAATTAATCAGATTAATTTTCTTTGAAAGATTCTTAATTATATTTTTCATTAATAGATTTGTATGAATCATATCTTGTAAATTTGTTGCCTCTTTTAGATGAATATGTAAAAAATTGTATATTCATTTTTCTATCATGTAGCTAGCGGGAAGAACGTTTAAACGCAACATCTATCAATAAAAAGGAAACCGATGATTTTCGAAAAGAGAACTAATCAAACTTGTTCATCAATAAATAATCAACTATACGTTTACGACTAGTTGCAAAAAAGTAGGCGAGTGAAACGTCGATGATAGGATAGTATCAACATATTCATTCAGAAAAATGAAAGAAAATCATTTATCTGTTAAGAAATTTATTGTTGATCGATGCAGTCAATCATTCTTTTCAATGACTCATCAACACAAATCCACACTTTCGATATTGTTTCATTGATATTGTTCAATGTATGAATTCAATTATCATCATCATACGATCTAAAATCATTTTGAACTTATGAAAATATAGCAGATCAACAGCAATAACATTGATTGTCTAACAGATTATTGATATTGAATATTTAGCTGGAAATGTCTCGACAAAATGGCTCATATTGCCTGTTGTTATTATCCTAAGAAATAAGAAAAGACTCGCTTAAAAACGACGTCACATGTATGTCATTTAGGGTTTGCCAGTGTATGCTTATCTAATATCAATAGTTTGTACCTATTATTCGCCATGTTTGCACTTTCATCAATCAGATTAGAGGATGAAAAGCAATTTTTACATTCCAATTGAAATCTATTTGTATTATTGTTATTGTACGAAGCGTACGAAAAGCGAAAACACAAAAGGAAAAAACACTATTGTATTCGTTTTACGAATTTAATGAACTGATAAGTTTCGCTGGCAAAAATCTATTTATTTCAAATAGTAATTCATCAGTTTTCAAATTTGATAAAACTTCGACATGGTACAACTTAACTTTAAAAAAGTGTTTTTTCTATCGATAAGATTTATTTAAAATATGAAATCTAGTGGAAACAATGAAGGATGTGGGTGTGGATAAATATTAGATGAACACCCACACCCACACTTTTCTTCACAGTTTCATGAACTACTTTCACTGGAACCAGCCTCACTTTTTCAATATAATAATTCTCTTACCATTTGTTATTTTGTGAGTGTTTTTTAAATAAACTTTATTGTTAAATGAAGTATAAACTATCTGTGTATGTACGTGAATAGAGAAAAAAATCACATGAGTTTCGAAAGTGAAGATGATTCGGCAGTCGTAGTGGGATTGACCGATTGGGCAAGTATGGTGACTTGATTGTCCAATGCCGATAAAGTTGCCTTGAATTCTTTGAGAAATGCATTGCCATTCATGCTGTCATAGACAAACGCCCCGACCAGTTTGTGTAATTTTCCACTTGTTGATGTAATCAAGTCGGTCATTTGATCGAACTGCAAAAAAAAATTGTTAAATATCTGTCGTGATTGCAACATACACAGAGAGAAAAACCTCGGTCTCTTTTATGGCCATTTGTTCTCGATGCTCTTATTATCTTTAATTCAGACACTCGAACATACAGGCCCGTCGACTCTATGAAACAATGATGTTCTCCTCTTCGAAAGAGATATACTTGATGAGTGCTAGCGATAGCTAAAAAAATACAGTAAGTGACTAACGTTGGAGAAAACAGAAATAAAAATGTTTTGTTTTCTTCGTACCGTTCGTAACGCTCGCTGTCAAGTTCATGAGAACGTCAGAAAAATGAGAACGAGCACAAGGAACAACTCAGTCAATGAGAAATCCAGTCGGTGAACAAAATAGCGCTTGCCATGAGCAGAAGCAACACTAAGAAAACGATGCTAATAGGCTCAACGCCACACCCAACCAATCTCTTTCAGGCTATGTTCAGTGAACTACAGGTCAAAGAAACAAAGGACGAATGTTCATCGTCATTTTTTATGCACAGTGAACAGAGAAGAGGAAAATATCCATTGACTAAAAAAAATAAAATTCGATTTTCCGTCAATATTTAATGGAAAATTTGCAGATGAATTGAGAAGAATTTTCTCAATTATGCATTCGAATTTGCAGAAAAATTAAATTTGATGAATCAAATTCTGACATCAATGACGATTTGTCAAGCGAAATTCTATCAGGTCAAGATCCGAATTTTCAGCAAATAATGACAAATCGGCTGATGTTCGATCAATCATCAAGTTTCGACATATAATCGATGAATGTTAGAGTTCTGTGCATTTTTTTCGAAAACTCTATCAATACAAATTTGAGTCGAAATAAAAAAATTCGATTTGAGTCCACTTGAGCGTGACTTTTGTTCTATTTTGCTTCAAATTCAAAGTAAAACCGAGCTAATGGAATTTCTTCAATTGTCCTTTGATTTGAATTTGAAAAATCTGATCGACTCGATTAACTCACAATCACGGATCGAAACTATATCTCAATGGTTTGTCTATGTCTCGTTTTCTTTTATTTGTCCGACTCGTAAGTTCAATTACTTTCGATTGTACGCCGGTCTCTACTGTTGATCTCACTAGATACTTTCATCTTTTACTCATCAATCAAACGAATTCGCATCTCTTTCAAACAAGGACTCGTTTCGCAAAGAGTTTTTCACACGAACAACTAAACACTATCCAATCATTTCTTTGTCTCTTCGAATGACGATAAAACGAAGAACAGACAAGAAGTTCATAGGAGCAACAAATATTGCATAGATGCTCAAATGAAATTGGACAAACTGATTTGACGCTGCTCGATTCTCATTGATCAAGATTCTTGAAAACAAAAATAATATTTACTATTGTGGTCGTCGTCGAATCGATGGGTAATTGTGCACGACAAAATAAAATAATATTATCGTATTTCGGCGGATGAACAGATCGAACATGATTCCAGAATTGTTCGAATTGATCTCGACTAAGCTGTTCATTTGAATTTCAATGTCGAACATGCACTCTTGTTGGTTATCAAGAAGTTCATCCTTGTACAATGGACACGCAAAGTTACCAAATCGATCTGAAATGTCTCAAAAAGACAAAATAAAGAGCAGATATTTCCGTGCACTTACTTAGTTTATAACGATAATAGTGCGAAAGAAGTTCTTGATCTGACATTGTTTGGCAAACAAAGCACACGAACACACGAGCAAGAGAGACTGTAGGAAGAAATAAATATCTGAAAATGAAATCGAAGAGAAGAAGAAGAAGCTAGTTCTCGATCGATTATGTGCATCGTTATTTTCCATCAGGAATATCACCAAGGTTCCGCTTATTTTCGTCGAAAAATATTTTCGTTCGAAACAAAAGAACTTGCTCAAGAGAAATTCATGATAAATTCATTATCTTGAACTCGAACGTTTTTTTCTTCTTGGCAATAGAACTTTTCTCAAATAAATATTTGAGTATTTTTTTAAAAACAAATGATGAGAATCAAACGAAAACAAACACAAGATGGACATGTGATTTGATGAAAAGACATCGGTTCATAACGATTCGATTTCTTCTTGATTGTTGTGCAATCATCGACAAAATTGTGATTCAATTTATTTTCTTTCAAACAATAAATTAAAACGAATGAAAACATATTCGGAATATGAAGAAGTTCGATATTTTGGCAAAATTAATGAATGCTATCATGTCCCACATGATGATCTTCTTTCTTCTAGAGCATCTATTAGACCAGTCTTTTTCTAGTCGTTTTCTTCGGTGAATAAGAGTAAGTTTATTATGAATAAGAAACGAAAGAGAAAAATAACAACTGAGAGAGAAAGAGTTGTCGATTACAATATCCAATTGACGACGAAAAATGGAAACGATCGAAATGGGGGAATCGAAAAAGAAAACACTGCTGTTATAGAATGGTAGATGGCGTATCCTGACAACATCCCATCTATCACTGCTATAGTGGCAAGCGAGCGAAGAAAAAGCGCACGTATATGCATCCTTCGTAATAGAAAATCAAAAATTCAATTGAACTCATGTTTAATGGGATCGATTTCGAATTCAAATTCAAAGACTAGACATTTAATTTCAATCTCATTTCATTTTATTGCTTGATATATTGATGGTACTGATAGTATGACATGATTTTCTTTTTCGAGATTATTTTAAAACTTACTAGCAAGAAAAATATTATTACAAACTAATTTTTTCCCAGTTTTATGCATAAAAATAAATTAATGATGTTTACCAACATTAGCTGTAGTATATTTTTATATTTTTGATGGATCTCACAATTGTTCATATGTATCTTTGACGACTGATTTAACCCTTTGGGAACGGGAGGATCATACAAGGCCAACGGTTCTGGATCGGACCATAGTTGATTTCTATATGTCTGTTAGGATATTGTTATGATCTGTCACCCCGATGCAGTGCGACAGGACCATCTGTATTGAGCCCTCATTTACCTTATTTCTAATAAATACATCATTTTAGAGTTTCAAAAACCTCATTGTTCTCAAAAGTGATTCCTTCGTCAAAGGGTTAATATCACATTGTTTAGCAATATTATCCGTTTTTCCCAATGTTGAAACAAATATAGATTACCTTTCTTAGATGCTTTAGTTGCTTTGTCGTTCATTAAATGATGTGAATAAGAATATTATTTTTGTTATATAGTTCAATATTTCTCTTTTACAAATTCTTGCCCACCCAGGTCGCACACCCTCAGGTCGTAAACGGCCGCATACGAAATTCATAATCGTCGACTGGGCAATTTTAATTGAGATCGAGAGAATCCGATGGTATCGAGAATGGAATCAAAAACAATAGTTATAGTTCTTATCTCAAATGAATAATGGAATTTTATCGATCTAAGAATATAGTAGGATATTAAATTTTGATCTATCGATAATATGCAACTAATGAGAAGAGCGTCGATAGATAAGAAAATTTCTTCACTACTGTAATACTTTTATTATTCGTTGGACAAACATGGTATTGCATAATTACGAAAAATTTTCATTGCACGTTTGTCTATTGACATGTAGTATAATAAATAGCTATGTCAAAATAAAATAATTATAACGCCAGAATCATTCACATATTGAGCTTTTACATGAAATCTGATTCTCTACAGAAGGATATCCGGTTTATTTTTGAAGCCCTGAACATAGAAATAATTATATAAAAATTAAGCTTAAAAATTTCCTCAAATTTTTATTTAACATCTCTTTTAGACATGTCTTTGCTATCCATCGATTCTTGCATCTATGTTTATTATTTTACACAGATGCTTCTGACACCCTATCTTCAATCGAATGAAATCGATTGTAAAAGTACACAATATTTAGTTAATACCACCAGTGAGACAAGTCTTCCGTACATTTATCTCGTTTTCATCTTTATCATATAACATAGACAAGTAACGCAGCGTAAGCGCCGCTAACCCTCTACTGAAAGTATATGATCACTTTAAACACATCAATAAGATATTTCTAGCGAAGCGATTCTGCCTAGTCAGAGCTTGGAGAACATTGTTAAGAAGCACGAAAATAATAGAAATCCATAGTAGAAGAACCTTCATTCATCTATGATGTATCACCAGGAAATGTGCATTCAACATATGTGGAAAAATTAGCTCAAAATTAGATTATAAGCCGTTATGATGACACCATTTTGATCAATTTTTTAACAGATTCTTCTTGTTTCAAAGACAGATCACTTCTGATGTTAATGTTTTGAATCTATATTAGTGGGTTTGTGAGGTTTAATCCATTACAATCGATTTAAATAAGCGATATTAACTGGTTTTGACTTTTATAATGAATTAATGTATCAAAATTAATAGAACTGTTTTTGAGTCAAAAAGTTCTGATTAGACCCAAATTAAAATAACATTCCATATATTAGTAGTCTAATAAGAAATAACAGATTTTGGTCTAATGCCACTATGTTTAGAACAAATGGAGCTCTACAATTTCTTATAAGGATGATAGTTTTACATAAGTTTTTTATGCTCAACAATTTCGAAGAGATGACAAGGTTCAAAACTACGTCTGCTCGTTTGTATATTTATTACAGAAGTTTTGACACACTTTACAGATCAAGTTAACTATCTTTGGCCCGTATATTCTGGTATACAAGTTAGTCTGATTTTTATCACAGTATACATCGGCAGATATAGGATACAAAGATTTATACTAGCAAAATAAAAAAATAGTACAATATAACCGCTTTGACGAGTTGAACTTTTGAAAATGCGGCATGCTAAATGATTAACATACCTTGCCAGTTCATTTCAGTGCACACAGTACATATCTTTTGGTTTCTTATTGTAAAAGGCTACTCTCCCACTGACATATAACGTGAAATGCATCAATGAATTCTTCTGACACTTCTATCGGCAATCAAGGAGATGCTATTGATTGTACTGAGACCGAAACAGCTCTAAAAAATGATTCCATACACTACGATGTAGTGATTTGAGTGCTGTTTGCTTTTCTACCATAGCAAACAGTCATCACACACCAATAGCGTTAGAACAATCGTTGAGCTTCGAAAGTCCTCCTCTTGTAGAAGGCCTCTGTCTATAGTATCTAACGAAATACAAACGAGTGTAAACCACAAGGTATCTTAGAGACAAGTGGAATATCACAGTCTGCCTAATTTTCACGTTACCTCTATGACGGTTAAACCGGGTTACCGGAAGTTCGCGAATAGAAATTTCGTAAACTGAACTTTCGCCATTGACGAATGTTCTATGGGCGAAGTTCTGGAACTCGGGTTATCCGATAGACTTGAAGTTGAGAAGATACTTTTAAGTTTGTTGCTTGTCTTAAAAGTCGAGAAGGCGTCCCACTGATTTCAAATTTCACCTACAAAAACTAGAGGGTGTGGGTGTGTGGGTGTGTGGGTGGGTGTTCATCTAATATTTATCCACACCCACACCCTTTCTTTATTGGTTATTCGAAACATGTTTGGAAGTGTGTTATTATATTTTCTATCAAGATAATCTTCAGAATAAAAAGTCAAAAATACTCATTGGAACTCAAGAATAAAAGTTTCTATTGAATTGACCCAATCGATTCTCTTATGCGCCATAAATAAAGTCATTTCAAAAGCATCTTTTTTGATGGTTTGAACTCTTTTAACATGATAAGAATTAAAATGATGACATTAACAATAGTTAGACACGATTCTCTTTCCAAAATTGACTTCATGTTTTCTGAGTTTCAATATAATCGATGATAAATATTAAACGAAAGAGAGAAAAATGCTAATAGTGTATTTTTTATATTCGCAGTGACTATTGTAAACGCTTCTTTTTCTCTTCATTTTCATTTTGACATTGATAAATTAATTTATCAACATATTATTTGTGTTGATATTTACAATTACATAGCAAGGTGTATTTGGGTAAAAGGTAAACATGTTTTGAATAAATACGTATTACGTATGATCATTAATCATAGAAATGATTTTCATTCGTATCAAATGAGTATCATTTTCAATAATTGACGATCGAAGGTTTGCAATAGATTTCACAGTTGAATATGAAACTTGAATGTTATCTCTGTTATTTTAGATTTATTTAATAAATAATGACTGATGAAATATCAGTACTTACTGATGATCAGAAAATAACTCGATATAAATTTATTAGACAAATATCAAAAGAAAATGAAACGATTGGTAATTATTTAAACGAAATATTTTATATTTGTACAGATGAAAATCGTCAAAATCGTGTTGATACGTATAAAAGAATCTTGGATGAATGCCCATTTGGTAGTATTGAAAGAAAACAATTAATGGAATATTATGCAAAATTAATGGATTTAGAACGTCGTGTAAGAAAATTTGATAATGCAAAATTTTACAATGAAAAAATTGAAAATCCAAACAGTACAGCAACAGCTGATCGTTTTGATTATGTTTTTTCTCGTATGCAAAAAGAAAATGTTCCATTAGAAAAAGTTAAACAATTTTTTAATGAAAGTGCTTATGCTATTTTCAGTTTAACAATGCATCCAACAAATCCAACATCCATGGAATATACAATTAAAGGTGGAATTGAATTTGATAAATATTTAGATAAACATATGGATTATGAACAACATTTGAAATTAGTTGAAACTTTGCCATTAACTGGACAGAAAAAAACAATTGAACAAGAAGTTCAAGAAACAATGGCTATTCTTGATGTTATTTATGAAACAGCACCTAAATTACGTATTAAATTAATTAAAGCATTAGAAAATATTGAATCTTATGTTGATATGGTTGATGTTGATTCACCTATAATACAAGTATCGATATGGCCAGCTGGAGATGGAGATGGAAATGAAAATGCTGATGTTTATGCATTAAAACAAGCTGTTCAACAATTAAAACAACGTATTAAACAATTGTACATAAATGATATTAAACAATTATCATCAAATAAGAAAATAAATATTCAAAACAGATTACTCAATAATTTATATAAAACAATTGATGATCTTATTGATGATTTAAAAACTATACCTCAAACACAAGATCTTATTTACAAAATAAAAACTTTTCGTTTTCACTATGCTCAAATTGATATTCGTCACAATGCTGATGATATAATGGAAACTCTTGCTCATTTAACACAAGTTAATGGTTTAACTGAAAATTTTCTCACGTTATCATTAGAAGATCAAAAAAAATCTATTATTGAATGGTTAAATAATGATAATATTATTGAAAAATTAATGTTTACTAATGATGAAATATTAAATAAAAGTAGTAAAACAGCTGCACGTGTATTTGGTCGTTTAAAATTAATTAAAAATGATCTTGATATATTTAATAAATTAATTATAGCTGAAACAAATTCAACAGTTAATGTTTTAGCTGCATTTTTATTATTAAAAGCATCTGGAAATATTGTAGCAGAAAAAGAAACAACCATTGACATTGTTACATTAAGTGAATCAGTTAAAGATTTAGTAAATTTACCGAATTTAATATCTCAATTGATTGATGATCCAATTTATCGAAAACATTTATTTTATCGTGAAAAATTAATTATAATGATTGCTAAAAGTGATACAGTTCGACGTAATGGTCGTGGTGCTGAATCATCACAAGAAGAAGCATCGGGAAAATTATATGCGATGCTTGAACAATTTAAAAACAAATATCCTGAATTAAAGAATTTAAAAATTCATGGTTTTAGTGGTGGTGGTGCTGCCTTACAACGCGGTGGTGGACGTGTTACAGAAGTAGCTCATAATCATGGTCGAGTTGCACGTTATTTTCATGCTAAAACTATGGGTCCATCATTATTAACAATTCAAGGTCATCAAATGCAAATATTATTTTCTCCATCATCGATTGCTTTAAATACATTAGAATCATTAGTAGCACAAAATCTTCATGCACGTGCACAAACTGAATTAAAACCGAATGGCGAACATTATGTTTTGCCACGTCGAGCACCAAATGGTTATGATGAAACAAAAAATATTGAAAATTTTCATAAAGCTTGCCAAGTTATGCGTCAAGCTTATTTTGATTATATGGGAGATTTAGATAATGATAAAGATCAAAACTCAGGAAATTATAATTTTAATCAATTATTTGCCAATGCACCATGGGTGTCAGTTATTTTAGGAAATTTAAGTTCACGTCCATCAAAGCGTGGTGGTATTAGTTCCATTAATGACAATATAACTGTTAGATATTTAAGAGGTGAAAACCCGAAATTACTCAACAATCGTGCTATTACTGTTGAACGAGTATGTGCACATAGTGGAACTCATTTTCTTAATTATTTAAGCGTATCTGAAGGATTAAAAAGTCTTAATTATGATGAACTCCATGATATGTATCTCTGTAGTAAATCGTGCCGAGATTTTATGCGTAATACAGCATTATCATTACATATGACTGATTTTGATATAGCTTGGCTTACAATGATTGGTGAAGTACATCCAAATAAAACTGAACTTGTTTCATTAGCCAAAAATTTCAGCACAAATAGAAAGACAAAAAATACCAATAAAGAAACATTAGCATGGCTTGAATTATATGCCTATGATGTTGCTAAATTAGTGTATAAATGTATTTTAGATAAAGATCCACCGGATAATTTTGATTTACAAACACCATTAAAGTCTGGTTTTTCAAATTTATCACAACAATTAAAAATGAGAGAAGAATCCGATGAATTCGGACGATATGCTCAAGCTGTTATGACGGATTTTATGAATAAGGATTTAGACTTTGTTTTAGGTACAAATGAAACTTTCGCATTACAAGCGTGTTATGCTGCTGCTGATGTTGTTAATGCACCAGAAGGTGGATTAAATATTGAACTTACAAGAAAAACACCGTTTTGAAAAAACAAATATTATTTATTGCTTTTTTTAAATTTAATCTTTCTCGTTCCATTTTTTCAAAATTTCATTGTTTCTTTTTTATCCACAAAATATCCTTCTTTTTAGTTTAACACTATCATTTATACTTAATTTTTTTCTAGAAATCGATTTATTCGCATTGGTACTTTTATCATAGTTTAAAGGTTAACACTGAGTACAGTTAGATTCATGAATGTGAGGTATGCGCGTGGTTCTTGTTGCCCTTATCACCCCCACCCAGGCCCTCACCAATAAATAAAAACAAGTAGTCGCATATATAAAATAAGAAATAAATATATCACAGTTTTCTCTTTTGAATTTGAATGAATACTTTTGATTATGATCCATTTATTGCAGAGCAATACAAATAAAATACATTGATTAATCTTGAAAAGTCTTATATGGTTGAATGTAATATAATATGAATTGTTTAATTTTTTCATGGATCTGATGAGATAGGAGAGGAGATCGATAGAAGGTAAAGTATGAGCATGCCCTTATTATTTTCAGTCTCCGTGTTAGGAAATCGTCGGAATTCAACGGAGCCGACAGAAAAGCAACGGAATCCATAGGGTCCGATGCCGGAAACGATCGGATCCACTGGTCGGATTGAATCTCCTGGGTAGCTACGATGGTCGTTTACAGAGATTTTTCACGATCCTCATTTACGACGACCGTATTTCATCGTAAGACATCGTTTACAACAACAGTAAACGCCTACGAAATACGGTCGCTGTTTTTCACCGTGAGTGATAGGTATACGGCCGTTTACGACTCAAGATGATCGACCTGGGTACTCTACATCTGTCGATCCAGTTCATTGCATGATACGGGTCAATCTTTTCTGATCCGACGTGTGCTCTAGTATCAGCCAATTTTTTATTCTTTCTTTCGTTTCGGAATTGAAAACTTAATGTACGTGTCCTTAATATTTCATCGATGTGCTACAGGTGAGAGAATACGATTCCATGAAAGAATATCTTATTATTTCTTCTTGTTTTCCTATGTGCCGAACTAATGCCCTTCTGTATCAGTGCTAAAAGAAAGAGAAAAGAATGCCAATGTTGATATCACAATCGTGGTAGCGTCAGAATGAATATTTTTGAAGTACGACGCGATTAATCATTCTCTATTTTCGAGATCTTTTCTTCCTGAATAAGAAACACAGTTAAATATAAACAATAGTACGTATACAGCATATAATCAAAATAAAATTCAATATCCTTTCTAATATTTGTGTGGTTTCTAATTCTCAATTACACACGGTTGATTTTCGATATTATTGTTCCGAAAAATCAAAATCATAATCAAGTTAATTACGATGGTCTTCGATGACAGTTCAACAATACATTAGAATAGATCTGTTCCGTATGATTGAGTTTTCAATTTTCTTTTATACATATCAGGCTTAGGATTGGTTCATTTCTTTTAGGTGAGATTTTCAAAATTTTGAATTCGTGAGATCAATTGCTACATTGGATAATAAGTTCTAATATGTTATAGAACGTCTTTAAAAATTTCAACATAGATAATTCATTTTGATTGATCCTGTAATTCACAGTTCCGCCTTCTTTATACTTCAAGCTACGTAAGATACTAACTGACATTGTTTTCTAATTAATTCAGTTCCTTGTTCGAGAACGTAACATAAAGGCTCTGCTTGTATGCATGAATATCACAAATATTTGGAAAATTTGATTAAACTTATCTCACAATAAAAATATTAAGAATTGGTTCCTGTACATTTTTCATTCATCTTATTGAATTTTTTACAAACGAGGAAAGTTTTATTCAAAATAATACCGTCACGAAATTTATTTAAACATCTTTTTAAGTTTATCGGTCCATCCTTGTACTATAGTGTCACTAGTCGCCTGTACGGTTTTATCTTTTTTTGTTGCATCATACGTAAAATCATATTTAGGTGTTGAGTTATTTTTGACTTCATTTTTTTTATCTTTCGATGGCGGAGGCATCAAAAGACCCATAACATTCGACAGAGCATTCATGGGATTAGCACCATCTTTAGCATTGAACACACCAGCAGTAGCTAACAGTTTGACTAGTTCAAATAATTTATTACGAACTTCACTATCTGCAAGCATGGCAAGATCTTTAAGAAAAAAAAGACAACATGATGATTAGAAACATCACTTTTAACAAATAGATTTTAACTAACTCGGCTGTCTCGTTGGATTATTCAAATCGATATAACCTTTTCTATTCATAGTCGTCATTAGATCTTGAACAGCATGGATAATCTTTGGATTTTTTTTAATAGCTTCTAGAAGTGCCAATGCTTTTGGATTCTTCGAAATTTCATCCATCATCTGTTGCATATTTGAAAAACTGTGACGGATCAGAGACAATGATGAAGGACGAATTGATGGAGATGACATACGAGTGAGAGTGAGAGGTAATAACAACGGACTACCAAGACGAGAGGAGAACACCGGAACAAACCGACGAACAACGAAAGCAAACATTTTGATAAATCAACCAAAAATAGGAATATCTGAAATTCATAATAGTTCGATGTTACTGCTTTTCTTGTTAGATTTATTGGTTCTATAGATTAACCTATTGAAAAATGACGACAGATGATGCTCTGTACTGGCAGTTCATATTTCGTAATAGATTTAAAATAAGATTGTTATGGTCCTGCTCAATCGGTAGAGATATATTTCGATGAAAAAGTAGGAAAAGACGCATCAGATGCTGGATCTGATGTTGAATATAATTAAGGCTTTAACTGCGTAATGTCGCTTGAAAAGTTTCAAAAGCCACTGATGTAACTAGGGCAAATAACTGAAAGTTAAGATTTTACTCTCGGTGTGAATGTGAGATTTTTGTGGAAGGCAAAAACATTCGAATACTAACAACACAACGCCTCAAGTGTGAGTGCTGCGAAATTTTGACGTTTACCAATAAAATAATTTTTTTTTGCGTTTTTATTTTTCCGTATTAACACGAGTCTTGCCTCAATTCGAATCCAAATATCTCATTTCATCTCTCACTTCTGCCGTAGTACAGTTGACTTACGTTCGAACTCGAAGTAGATAGCTAGAAACATTTCTGACGGCACAATCAAGCTACTATGAGTTTAGGGCTTTCAGAGAGTCTCTCAATACTATTGAATAAAGAAATTGGATTCCATATTTCTAAGTCCGTATTCGAAACAGACACAAAGTTTTGACTTTTATAGGTAGCTGGTGACTCGTGAAAATAGAGAATATTGTCTCGAATGCCAAAAGTGAAGAAACATCTTGAGTAAACAGATTTAGATTATTTCTCAGTAAATCCGTAGTGACTAATCTGCTTTTAGTCATCTCTCTTTTCTATTTAGCTTTTGTAAAACTTTCGAATGATATTGATATCATTCACAAATGTAGTTATGGTTACATGCATAATACGTTGCATTGTTATTATTCATTAATTCTCATTGTTGGTAGGAAAATCAAGTTTTAAAAAAATCAAGTTTTGCAATGCCTTAGAACAGTTTATTATGAATAATTTAAATGTTCATTTATATCAAAAAAAAATTTAATTCCTTTTGCATTGCCAGAGTAGATAATACTACAGTAATTTATTTGTTTGTTGATCATTCATCGAAGATTTTTTCACAAATTGTTTGTACGTACCAAAGAGACGATCAAAATCAATTAGCGGTACTCCATAGTTACATTCAAAAAATGCATGATGTAAATAGTGAAAGTCTGCACCACCAGCTGGATCAGCATAACCATCATGGCCTCCAATTGGTGCTATATCAGCATGAAATTTTGCATATAGAAAATGAAGTGGATGACATGAAAAAAGAAGCGGAAAATAAGCACATGTATAATAAACGAAATGTTCAATGGGATGCATTGATAATCCTGACCAAGGACCAGGATTACGACTTTGATGGTGCAGACTATGGAAGTGACGATAAAGAAATGCGCCAATATCACCTTGGTATAGTCCATTTTGAACAGACCGCCATGGATGCATAAAACGGTGAACCTAGAAAAATCAGCATTGATTTACAACATCAAAAAACCGAAAACAAAAGATCTAACTTACCCAGTAGAAATGAAATTCTCTCCAAAAGGTAACACTTAAAAGAATAAACATTGAAAAGTATGGTCGAGACCAAAAATCACTATAATACGGCAATCGACCACTAGCCCATAGCCACATAAAAATACATTGCACGAAAGCTGATTGTAGCCAACCAAGTGTTGTAAATGTGACTTCTCTTAATAGATGATGTTGACTTTCTTCTTCATATTGATTAATTGAATTATATTTTTTTCCATGTAATGGTCCTTTAGGATATGGACTCGTACGTCCATAAGTCATCCAATGCCAAAATGAGTAAAAAATAAATTCACAGGCTATATTATAAAGAAAAACTCGTGATACCCATTTTATATGCCATTCATTGGCTTCAGTAAATGTTATTGGAAATATCCAAAGCCAACATAATAGTGCGACACTAAAATCAAGGGCATGAGCTAAATGGCACCAAATGAGATAATCAAAGGCTTTTTGTTTCCAATAAGACCATTGCAAATATGTTTTAAATATTAAGGGAGTTGAATAATCTCTTTCTCCTGCATGAAGACGATGAATTCCAACGATATTACGAATACCGAATGTCATTCTTAATAGACTATTTTTTAAAATCTCTGCTTACCTGTAACTCTCCGTATATTTACTCTTTTGAAGCTATCTGCATGCATTATACGCCACTGTCACAATTTATCAATAGTCAAACATTTTCTTTTTCCTATATTTACTAATATGAAGATAAAAAAAGTAATGATACTGGTCACATGTATATTTGTTGTCTTTCTTTTTACAAACAAAATGACCTTTTACATGTGTGAAATCAAAGTAAAGTAGTTTGCCATAAAATCTTTCGGATTTTAAAAATAAACCTCTGATGAGCAAAACAGTTAAAGAAGGAAAGTCTCCAGAACTAGTTGTTTTTTCTGTTTGAATCAACACATTATTCAATATGAAACGTTACTTACACACGTATCTGACATCAAATACAGATTGAAAAACATCACTTTTGAGTTTATTGTTAACGATTGTAATATTTTTATCGATCCGTGACTTGTATTTAATTGTATTTGGCTTTAACTTTTCATTCGCTTCTATGATAATACATATATTTGTTTAGATGAAATTAATATATATATAATACTAGATTTTATACTTTGCATTTTTACCTAACAATATTAAAAAATCGAGCGATCAATTTTGGAATTCTGAAGTACAAAAATTAAAAATATAGACTTTGAATAAACAAATAAACATTCATATACAATGTTTTTGTCACAAGAGTAACACAAAAGAAAATATAAATAACGGCACAACTCTATTAATATTAGCTTTGAAAATATTTCAATTTAATATTTCTTGATCGATTTTGCTTACAAGATGAAAATATAGAGAAAAAGTGCTGTAGACTTTTCCTTTGTATTGATTTGTAAAAGAATCGAGTGCATCAAGAGAAACAATTAAACGAAATTTACTACTTCTGTCGATTTGACCAGATTGTTCATTAAATCGGAATGCTTTTTGAATAAAATTGGCTTTGATACAATTAACTTTAAGAAAATAATTTTTAATCGATAGGTCCGTTCTGTTAGTTGTCCTATTTGATAAGGAGAATCCCGTGCGTTTATGACGACGATGATCATCATAATTAATCGATCTCTTTAGAACATTAGTCATACACGAAAAAGAAACAATGAGAAGATTTATATAGAATATTCGTAAGATACGCGTACTTCTTGTTGTACGAAATAATATTAGAATCAACATATGGTTTAACAAGAATAAAAATAAAATTCGTCCTTCTACTAATTGTTAGGCGCTATTTATTCCGAAATAAAAATCGAAAATAGACGTTGAATTTACAATCTAATTCGAAATTATTTTTGTCTAATTCAAAGATACAACTCACTGTAAAATTTCGTCAGATTTCGATAGAATTCCAAGAGCAGATTTATATCAATTCATTATTCAAAATCTCATCACAATAAATCAATAAGAAATTCTCTAGAAACAACAGCAATCAAACTGTAGAAATCAAATTAGAATGTTTCGTACAGTATAATATGGTTAATAGGTGGGAAACATAAGGAAAGATGACAAGACAAGACAATGTTAAATAATATGCATGAAAAATCAATTGAAATAAGCAAGGGGAATAGAACGGGACTCAAATGACTACACTGGACACGTTACAATGTCAAAGATAAACAATTTCACTATCTCGGTTGCTTTGTTAGATCATTCAAATTGATACAGCCTTTTTTTATTCATTCTAATCATTATATCGTGTGTTAAGTGGAGAATTTTGGGGGTCTAATTCAATAGCTTGTAAAAATGTCATCAAATTGAGAAGTTTCGTTCATCATTTCTTGGACGTTTGAAAATTGTAACAGTTCAGCGTTACTGATAAAAATCGAACTGGCGATAACAAGCTGTGAATGAGAGAAATGAGCATTGGATTGCTAAGATGAGGAGATACAACAACAACGAAGCAACGAGAGATGAAAATAAAAATTTCACTCAGTGAGTGTAAACAGGTATCACTCATCTTGAGACTATGATTCGTTTGACGGATTAATATATTTGAAAATAATGATAAAAATCACTTTGTATCAGTATAGACTACTTTTGACAAAATTTTCAATTTATACACAACCCTCTATGCTCAAGGTATTTCTCTCGTGTTGAAGAAGTAAGAGTTGTTTCAACCAATAAAACCTTATCAAACAGTCGCAATAAAAACATGTGACATCGTTAACCAATAGAAATTGTCTTGTTATCCTCCGTTTTATTCTTTATCATAAATTGTTTATGTCGCTAAGATCAATTGCAATGGTTTCGATTTCTTACCATTCATATAGGTTGTGTCTTGTTTGTCAAAACAAAATCAATCTAATGGAGCAGATGGACACAACACAAACGCTTTCATTAATAAGCAAATCTAGGTTTGTTTTCAACACAAATGTTTAATTCGAATAAAAAACTCTTCGATATGTTTTAGTGGACTTCAACATGAGAATCAGAGTAGTACAACTATTGATATGCTTAAAGATTGTTCTCCATGTAATAATAAATTAATAAAATTCTCAGATAAACATGCAAAATTTTTAATTGACAATCTAAACTTATTAAGAAAACAAAAAGAATTATGTGATGTTATTTTAATGATTGGGCAAAGTCAAATTCCAGCTCATCGAGCCGTACTTTCTGGTAATAATTTTTAAATAAAATATACGAAATAATCTTGTTTTTATTGTATCTAGCGTGTAGTCCATATTTCAAAGCAATGTTCACTGGTGAATTAGCTGAAAGTCGAAAAACAGAAATAATTATACATGATATCGATGAATTTGCAATGGAATTATTAATTGAATTTTGTTATACTTCAAGAATTATTGTCGACGAAAAAAATGTCCAAATGTTATTACCAGCTGCTTGTATTCTACAAGTAATCAATAAGATTTATTTTATAGAAAACACAACATAAACAATAAATCATATTTTATTCTCCGCTTTTTTGAGAATATTCATTTTATATTAAAAAATACAATATGTAGACATTAGATAATTTTCAAGCTAAAAAGTACAGTCCATATTCATTGGATATTTTAAAAATGTGTTTATCAAAGTATCCTCTAAGATTCGTAATATATTCTTCAATAAAAATAAGATAAAGCCAAATATGAGAATATATATCAGACGACATTCAAAATCTGAAGCAATCACTAGATGAAATAACTGAGCTTTCTATAGAATTTTCATTTTACTATGAGTTCTTCAGGATGTTGATTATAGTCATCAAGACCGTAGGAGTGGTATTGAACATTACTATTTGTTATTTATCGTAGTCCATAGCTATGTATTGCCTTTTAGTAGGATTAGTATGATAAATATTTTTTGTTATTGTACTATTTATAAAGATTCTGTAAGGACCTGAAAGACGGCCAGTTAAATAGTTTTAATTCGAGAGAAAAATTTTTGTTTTTATTTAAATTAATGAATTCATATTTTTATAGATTTAATTCTAAATCAAGTTATTTTTGAAAGCGAAAATAGTGTAGACAGTTAAGAACCTTTTCCCCTATGTTTTCGGCCAATAAATGAAAACACGTCAACATCACGAATTGAATGTTTTTGTTGTTTTTATAAATAGAATAGTTACCCATCAAAGATTTCTGTTGATCGATTTGTTTCGTTTTGTCTTGATACATTATAAGTTGAAACGTTTGATATGAGATTATCGTTGAGAATTTTATTATGACAATGTGTCTCGTTTCGACAAGTATTGTTAATATTTAATAGAGAAAATTTTACTCTTGTATAGGGAAGAACAAACATTTTAAAAGTAATTATATATTTATATCATTTGATAAAGAAAAAAGTTCGAAAGCAAAATGCAGTGTAAACGACTGATTCTTAATTGATTTGCTTCATTTAATAATGTTTGAATTTAGATTGAAGAAGTTCAAATAACTTGCTGCGAATTTCTTCAAAAACAACTTGACCCATCGAATTGCTTGGGAATCCGAGCATTTGCTGATACACATTCATGTCGAGAACTTTTACGTATTGCTGATCGGTATGCTCAACAACATTTTACTGATGTTAAAGAAAGTGAAGAATTTTTATGTTTACCTATCAATCAATTAATTGATATTATATCAAGCGATGAATTAAATATGACATGTGAAGAAGATGTTTTCAATGCTGTTATGCAATGGATTTCATGTGATCTTCAACAAAGAAAACAATATTTACCTAAAGTAAAATTATCATTTACACTAATAGAAACAAAATCAAAATATTAAAAAAGAAACATTATTTACTTAGATATTAGAACATGTACGATTTCCATTGATGAATCCTAGATTTCTTGTCAATACAGTTAGTTCAGATCCATTAATTCGATCTGATCAAGCATGTAGAGATTTAGTCGATGAAGCTAAAGATTATTTATTATTACCACAAGAACGTTTGAATATGCAAGGACCACGAACAAGACCAAGAAAACCAATTCGATCAGGCGAAGTTCTTTTTGCCGGTGGGTTCATTTGATTTGTTTGCTTCAAATTATTTTAAACTTATATGTTCACTTTTTTTTCTTGGAATAGTTGGTGGTTGGTGCTCAGGTGATGCCATAGCGAGTGTTGAAATGTTTGACCCAACAACAAATGAATGGAGAGCTGTAGCACCTATGTCAAAACGGCGTTGTGGTGTTGGAGTTGGTGTATTAAATAATCTTCTATATGCAGTTGGCGGCCATGATGGTGTTAGTTATTTGAACAGTGTTGAACGGTACAAGTTTTGTTAATTAAGAATCCTTATGCATTTGTTTTCCTTGTTGGTTATTCTCGTATAGATTTGATCCTCAAACAAATCAATGGAGTAATGATATAGCACCAACAAGTTCATGTCGAACAAGTGTTGGTGTTGCTGTACTTGATGGTTGTCTTTTTGCTGTCGGTGGACAAGATGGAATTTCTTGTTTAAATCTTGTTGAAAAGTATATTTAGTTATTGTTATTAATTTCTATATAAACGAAACTCATTCTCTTTTTAAAGATATGATCCATCCGTTCAACGATGGATTCGTGTTGCCTCGATGGGTACAAAACGGCTGGGTGTAGCCGTTGCTGTTCTCGATGGATATCTCTATGCTATCGGAGGATCAGACGGACAATCACCACTTAGTACAGGTAAATGAAAAATTTATCGATAATCTGATTTATTCAAAAATGCTTGTTGTTTCTTTACAGTTGAAAGATACGATGCAAAAGGCAATAAATGGTTATCAGTAGCATCTATGAATACACGTCGAAAACACCTTGGCTGCGCTGTTTATAATGGATATATATGTATGTAGTGTGCGATATTTGATCTCAGAGTAGTGTTGAAGTATATTGCTAGAATTTTGAATTCACGCTCTTGTGTCAGTGACTATAATGGAAACCTAATATACGATCAAATAGCGTATATGGATATTATTTCTCGTAAAAACATATGAATTTCTTTTTCTATTAGATATATTAAGGGTTCAGTGACAGGATGACGAAGAAATATCTTGAAGAATAGATATAAAAGAAATTACCTTATTATAATTAGCAAGAGAAACTACATCATAATAAGATATTTTTGTCTCATAGAGATTGTGTTAACAATACTTTCGTTTTAAATTGAATTATTTTATATTTGGATATGAATACATAGATGCTGTGGGTGGTCGAGATGATGCTAAGGAATTATCAACAGCTGAAAGATATAATCCAAAACTAAATCAATGGTCACCTGTTGTTGCCATGAATTCAAGGCGAAGTGGAGTAAGACTTGTGCAAAAAAGAAAAAAAAAATTATCTTTGTTAATAGGTTGGTTTAGCTGTTGTTAATAATCATTTAATGGCTATTGGTGGATTTGATGTAAGTTCTTAGATTTAATTATCATTCAAATTTAATGTTTTCGGTTGTCTTTGATTAGGGAGAAGCGTATTTAAAAAGCGTTGAATTATATGATAGTGAATCGAATAGTTGGAAATTAAATGGCGGAATGAATTATCGCCGATTAGGCGGGGGTGTTGGTGTAATAAAATTTCAACAATTTGATTCAATTTTATATGGATCAAATTCTATATCTAATGTTTTATCAACATCACCAGAAGATCTTAAAAATCGTTCACTTTCAACATTGGTTGATCTCTGAATGACTATTCCGATATTTCTCATGTGTACTTACTTATTTTGTTGCTCTCGGTGTACAATAATTTTCTTCATTGGGCTCCATCTTTATGTATCAATTTCTTTATTTAATGATAGTCAAAAGAAATATATATATATATATATATAAATATATGTTAAATAAATTATCATGTGCGATGTTTGAAATGAACTTTAATTAAAAGGAAAATATATCTCCAGTTTTAGTTTTGATGCTTTATTTGAAAATAGAGGCTCTAATAAATGATTTCTTAATATTGAATTTTACAAATCAATATTGGATTGATATGGATGTAGGTATAATTGTTGGTGGGAATGAGAATGCAAGCAATACCAAAAAGAACAGATCTACATCCGTTACAGAGTACATTTCGACAACTTATCAAGCAACCATTGAGAGTTCGATTGAAAGGCTACATATCGCAGATGATAGAGTAACTCATTCTATGAACACTGAGTGAGTAACTGTATTCACACAGAACTGTGAAGTTTATTACTGTACGATAACTTTTGTTTATGGATCAATTGATCGTTATGTTTGTTTATCATGATAATGAGTTCACACCCATACAATTCTCTCTCAAAACTTTACAATGAAGTGAATTTTCGCAATGACAGAGAAGAATTAGAATATTTCTAACTGATTACAGGGAAGAGATATTTCTAAAACAACAACCATGGATTAGATTCTGCTCTCCAATTACATATTTATGAAGTTAATAAAAAAAGAAGTAAATATATGATGAATGGTAGTAAAATAATCGCTCAAAATTCATATTGATTGTGTATTTGATTTTTTACACCAATAGTCATTTAAGATGACGCCAATAAAAAAACGATTGAATAAAATCAATAAAATTTCAGTTGGATCTTATTCATACTTCTAAAATGATTAGTAAAATATTCATTTGAGAATAATATTGGGTATTTCAAACTGTTTGTAAATGTTTTTATTTATTTTGTGTCTTGTTGACTCTGAGTTGATGCGAAAATTTTCATTGATGATTCACTTTTTTAAAGAACATATCTCATAAAATGTTATACAATACCAAGTTATGTTCAGTTTTAGATGATGTTTTATGAAACAATTGTTTTATCTGTGTGCCACCATAATAACATATATGATAAATAAAGACAGTTAAAATAAGAATACGCTTAATAGTCTGAAAGGGCTTTTTCCTTTTTTGTTTAGTAACTCACTTTTATCAGGCTAAAATAAATTAGATTGAACTAAAACACTTACAAACAATTCTTATCATTTAATCGGAATACGAAATATCCACATTTCTATGCATGTTTATACATGTCAGAGAAGAAAAAGAGACGAAGATAGATACAATTTTCATAAGTCATAACATACGTAATATTAAAACACTGCATTCTATTCTATAGATCGGCGTAAATTGTGAATTTATAGAAATTTCAAAGTAATATCGTTCCAAAAATATCGAAATATCTTAGAATTTGTCTGTCTTGACATCTATGATATTATAGTTACTGATTATCTCATGCCCACTTGAATTATGTCGTATTTCATTCTTCTACCGTTCTTTTAGCTGTCCGCAATAAATCGTAAATATATATATATATAATAAAAATAAAATAAAATCTTTTATAAATAGTATCACATTGCAACTGCAGTGATTATACTGGCACCGCGTTTAGCTAGATCTTGAAGAAGTCTGATTCATGCTTAATGCATACTAACTTAAAATGATGACAAAATAAAAAATATCCAATAATTTTTAGCTGAGATCAATTTTCAAATATTTAATCGGGAGTTTCTGATAGTTTGGATTGTAATGAAGTCTTAATAAATCGATTAAATCGTTCGGTCAATATTTTTCTTGGAAATATTCATAAAGAGAAAATAAATAAAACTTTATAAACTCAAGTTGAATGGTATAAATTCTCTAGGTCTTTTCCGTTTCTATCCAAGACCTCTTTTCAAAAGTTGTCATGGAATTTCGATTTATTAGAATACTTTTACTAGTTTTCATTTGGGTACCATTTGTGACATCTTACTATGAGTGTAATCAACGATTGGTTCTATGTGGCTGTGGCCTGAAAAATGTTGAGATGAATGTGCATATCGCGAACGGCGAAGATGCAGTTCCGCACAGTTGGCCAATGATTGTATCATTAAGATATGATTGTCTTAATAATGGGAATGTCTCCACTCATTGTTGTAGCGGTACTATCTTAAGTGATTCATATATACTCACAGCTGCTCATTGTGTTGAAAACATAAATGAATCTAGTCTCTTACTCGGTAAAATTACTATTGCTACTGGCATTTATAGTCGATCTCAACAGTGTCAAACAATTAGAAAAGTTGACCAAATTTTTATTCATCCTAATTGGACAGCACATGTAAATGGATTCAGAAATGATATTGCCATACTTCATTTAACTGAATCACTTGATTTTTCGACGAACTTATTAATTGCTCGCACCTGTTTACCATCCCAATCGAATTCCACCAATGATATCACGAAATATCCACCATCCAATAGTTCTCTTGTTGTGATTGGATGGAATTTTCGTACGACTTTAAATTCTACTGCACGCGATATACTACAACAGGCAACTCTTATATCAATACATCATAATCATTCGTCGTGTGCCGCATCTATTAACCATATTGAAACACAATTTTGCGCAGGACGGTACGAAGACTGCAAAGGTAATTTGTATGATTCAAAAATTTCATATTATTCTTGAACATTTTTTAATTTTCGCTTAAGGAACATGCATGGGTGAGTAGGGAGTAATTTTCATTGCTGTCTTTTTTATCTAGATTTAAATAAGTAGGCGACTCCGGTGGTCCAATACTTCGATGGATCGGTGATCGATGGGAGCAAGTTGGTATCGTTTCGTATGGGTTAGACAATTGTGAATCAGCTAATCATCAAATGATTTTTACACGAATTACTGCGTACTATGATTGGATCGAAAGAGTTATGAATCAAAGGAATTCTACAGCCATAACGACGGCAGCAACAGCTACAGCAACAGCAATAACAACAGCAATAACAACCATCAATCGTCCATTATCTGTTTATAGATGTAGTAAGAATAATACATTATGTGGATGTGGTTTTAATAATGTTGCATTAACAACTACGAGAATTGTTGGCGGCGAGGAAGCAATTCCATACAGTTGGTCGATGATTGTATCTCTCCGATATGATTGCCTTAATAATGGTAATTTTACAACTCATTGCTGTGGTGGAACGATTTTAAACAGTTATTATATTCTTACGGCTGCTCATTGTGTTGATAAAATAAATCTATCTTCAGTATTGTCACAAAATATTACTATTGCTGCTGGAATTCATAATCTAACAGAAATCAATCAAACCATACGACGCATTGATCAAATTTTCATTCATTCTGATTATACTGGCTTAGCAGATATGTTTAAAAACGATATCGCTATACTTCATTTGAGCGAACCTCTTGATCTTGATACAAATTCACGTCTTAGTCGAACTTGTCGGTCATCCCGCGTATACACCCAGGAAGATATTAGGCAATATCCATCGAATGGATCCAAACTGGCTGTTGTCGGCTGGGGTCTTTTAAATAGACCTTTTAATATAAAACCTCAACTGTTGCAGCAATTGAATATTTATGCAATTCATCATATACATCCGACATGTGCACAATATATTGGTTATGTTGATGTACAATTTTGCGCTGGAGTGTACGATGATACTAAAGGTAAATAGTTTTCTTTTATATGTATAGCGTAATTAAACCACAGTATATTTATTCACACATTTCCTTTTTAGGCCCATGCAATGGTATGATAAACTGAATCAGATTGATCAATTGAATATTTTTCTTGTTGATTTTCTTATTAGGTGATTCGGGTGGACCAGTCATGCAATGGTTAGATGACCATTGGGAACAAGTTGGTATAGCTTCTTATGTAGTAAGAGGTTGCGCATCCTATGGCTACCCAAGTGTTTACACCAGACTTGCTTCTTTTCATGATTGGATCGAATGGATAATAAACCCAAGCAATTATACAACAACTACAACAACAATTGCCTATCGCCCACCAAATGTTTACAGTTGTAATAATAGGAATACGTCATGTGGATGTAGTAAAGTAAACGTTGCTTTTTCATCATTAAGAATAATTGGTGGTGGTGAAGCTGTTCCATACAGTTGGTCGATGATTGTATCTCTCCGATATGATTGTCTTAATAATGGCAATTTTACAACCCATTGTTGTGGTGGAACTATTTTAAACAGTTATTATATTCTTACGGCTGCTCATTGTGTTGATAAAATAAATCTATCTTCAGTATTGTCACAAAATATTACTATTGCTGCTGGAATTCATAATCTAACAGAAATCAATCAAACCATACGACGCATTGATCAAATTTTCATTCATTCTGATTATACTGGCTTAGCAGATATGTTTAAAAACGATATCGCTATACTTCATTTGAGCGAACCTCTTGATCTTGATACAAATTCACGTCTTAGTCGAACTTGTCGGTCATCCCGCGTATACACCCAGGAAGATATTAGGCAATATCCATCGAATGGATCCAAACTGGCTGTTGTCGGCTGGGGTCTTTTAAATAGACCTTTTAATATAAAACCTCAACTGTTGCAGCAATTGAATATTTATGCAATTCATCATATACATCCGACATGTGCACAATATATTGGTTATGTTGATGTACAATTTTGCGCTGGAGTGTACGATGATACTAAAGGTAAATAGTTTTCTTTTATATGTATAGCGTAATTAAACCACAGTATATTTATTCACACATTTCCTTTTTAGGCCCATGCAATGGTATGATAAACTGAATCAGATTGATCAATTGAATATTTTTCTTGTTGATTTTCTTATTAGGTGATTCGGGTGGACCAGTCATGCAATGGTTAGATGACCATTGGGAACAAGTTGGTATAGCTTCTTATGTAGTAAGAGGTTGCGCATCCTATGGCTACCCAAGTGTTTACACCAGACTTGCTTCTTTTCATGATTGGATCGAATGGATAATAAACCCAAGCAATTATACAACAACTACAACAACAATTGCCTATCGCCCACCAAATGTTTACAGTTGTAATAATAGGAATACGTCATGTGGATGTAGTAAAGTAAACGTTGCTTTTTCATCATTAAGAATAATTGGTGGTGGTGAAGCTGTTCCATACAGTTGGTCGATGATTGTATCTCTCCGATATGATTGTCTTAATAATGGCAATTTTACAACCCATTGTTGTGGTGGAACTATTTTAAACAGTTATTATATTCTTACGGCTGCTCATTGTGTTGATAAAATAAATCTATCTTCAGTATTGTCACAAAATATTACTATTGCTGCTGGAATTCATAATCTAACAGAAATCAATCAAACCATACGACGTGTTGATCAAATTTTCATCCATCCTGAATATGCTGGACAGCAAGATTTGTTTAAAAACGATATCGCTATACTTCATTTGAGTGAACCTCTTGATCTTGATACAAATCCATTTATTACACAAACCTGTCGTCCACTTCGAATGAATTCATCAGAAAATATCATGGCGTATCCATCGAATGGATCCAAACTGGCTGTTGTCGGTTGGGGTGCTGCGAATAGACCCGCTAACATCAAACCTCAGTTGCTACAACAATTGTATATCCGTACAATTCATCACAACGATTCGACATGTGCAAGATCTATCGGACATGTTACTGTACAATTTTGTGGCGGAGTATACGAAGGTGGTAAAGGTAAGAATTTCCTAAAATTTATTTTGATAGCAGTGTTATCTTTTTTCTGTCATTTTCTTAATCTAGGAATATGCTATGGTATGTCATTCTATTTCAATTTTGAGTAAATGGAGTTCGTCGTATCTTTCAACATGTCTTTTCTTTTATAATAGGTGATTCTGGTGGTCCAATTTTCGAGTGGTTAGGTGATCGTTGGGAACAAGTTGGCATTTCTTCATATATGATGAATGGATGTGCGTCAGTAGGCTATCAAAGTGTTTTTACACGGCTTGCTGCATTTTATGATTGGATCGAAGAAGTTATAAATCAAAGTAATGCTACAACATTATCTTCTTTTAAAACTTCTACAGCTCCTACTACCAGTAATACAACTACATTTTCAAATAATACAACGACCAATAACGCTGCTAATAATCCTAATAGCTATTTTGGTATATGTGGAAGTTTCTTCGTCGTTGTGTTTCAGTTAATTCACTAGGTATACTCCTTTCGTCATATAGACTATCCGACTATCACATTATGTATACATACATAAATATGTAGCTAACTGTATGTGTAGTTATTTTTGTTATCCATGACTATTCGTATCTAGATCTTCTTTCACCTTGTAGAAATACTGTTTCTATTAAACTTTTCCCTTTCTCACGTATTAATAAGCTAAATATTGGCCATGACTTCTGGCTAGCAGAATTAACGTTACTATATACAACACTTCGGCTTTTTTTTATACGTATTAGATCTGTTTTATGTAGCTATGAGTACATCAATGTGTTTTTTAACGCTTTCGTGTATCGTTGGTATGACAGATGCTGTTGATGATAGTTGATCTATAATGTTCTCAATTGTCTTTTGGCGCATCTATAATGCAGCAATGTGGTGGAACCATTCTTTTAGTCTCATATATGTTTATTAATGCTCGCTTTGTGTGAGATCTTTCAGAACGAACCAAGATGGGTGGGCGCGGAGAAAAAGTTCAGATTCAGACACCTTCATGCTTATTTTGCTCTACTGCAAAGCAGTCTGATGCTCTGGCAATGAAACCAGATATCTTCCTATTTCTCGTCATCGTCAACAAGTTGTTTTTTTAATTATCATCTAATCTATAAAAACACTTTCGAATCCAGACGTATCTTTTGAGACATGAAAAGCGTCATTTATTTAAAATGAAGTAGAATAGTAAATATTGTGAAAAATAGTATAAAAGGTGAACATAGGTCATACGAAGAGACCAAGCCTAAATAGAAAAAATATCAATTAATAATATGAAAAGTTTCATTTACCATTTGTTAAATAAATTTGACATTCTTCGTTCATATCTTTTGGTAATCGATCTTCAAGCAATTGTTTTAGTGTTGCTATCGAACAGATAGTATTTTCACATCCTATACGTATCAATAGTATCATTTATGTTATATTTTGTTTCTTACCAGGTAATTGAATTGGATATGCTGTCCGACCGTTGGTCATGTTGAGATATTCGAGTTGAATACCATATGAATCGTTATCTACGCAATACCTTTATATGTTTCTTGAATAATAACTTAGAACATCTACCTAGTCGATAAAGATCAAAGAAGAGTGCACTGGCGAGAGGAGGTTGATGTGGATAATTAATGCCCAAAAATGAGAGAATAGCCGCGATTATTGTTTCATGCTAAATAATTTATCAGTCAATCGAAAATGTCCTCTCATATTGCGCTGATACATACTCCTGAATAAATTTTAGCTTTTCGCCTTTTCGATTTATTCAATATTAAATCTTCAATATTTTCTAATATATCACGTAGTAATGGACCTATCGACGAGATTATATTTAATATAATAAAAGAATCATTAATGCTACTTTATAAGAACGAACCACCGCGTAGACGATTAATTTCAGACATAAACATGAGGTGATAAGCTGCTATATCGGATATATATTGAAGTTGGTGAATAACAGCTGGAGTGGCCCATAATGGTGCAATATTATAAGATTTCTGACAAAATAAAAAAAATTCTTTCATTGTGATTAAACATAATAAATCGAAAATAATTTATTTACTTCGATTAAGACAGTATCAGAAATAGCCCATGCATCAAATAGATCCGATACTGGTTGCTTCGTATTTTTTTCAAGATATTCAAATAAATCCTGATTAAAAACGAATTAATTCATTTTTTTAAAATGATGAATAAAAAAACGATCTCACTCGAAATTGACTATTAATATTTTGAATTCGTTCACTCTTTTTCATTTGTTTTACTAGTGCTGTATACTGAGCGCAATCACTAACACCTAATAACTGACAAAATCAAGAGAAATTATACTTTAAGAGAAATATCAGTGATTGGAATCCACTAACAGTGTCCATTGAGTTTGGTACTGTATGAACAGGAATGGGCTGCCATGGAAGATTTTCTGGCCAAGTATTAATCGAAACTAAAGAATCGATCGAGATATTGATATTTGATGCCGGGTAAAGACCGAGTAAAGTTAAATAGGCAGACATTAACGTTCGATCATAGTCAGAACTTCGGACAAAAATCTAAAGCTTCAAATAGGATTTAAAAAAATATTAAATGAAACAATTACTTCTGATGCAACATAAGTAGAATTCAACAACGTTGAATAACGTTCTCGAAAATATTGACCAAGATGAATATGTTGAAACTTTCCACGGACTGTTAACGAACCGAGTCCATTGGACCAAAAAGATAAATCATTTGGGTCCGACGGATATAACATTGTCGGTGATCGTTCCCCATGACGAAATAACTAAGGCATCGTATAAATTACTTAAATATATAGTCCATATTTTAGCTTACTATGTGAGTACCAATGAGTTGACGAGCAAAATTAGCTGGATTGAATACAGAAAGAAGAAGACTAACAACAACAGCAACCGATGGAGACATTTTTATTGCTTCGATAATATCAATCGTGGTAAATGTAAGAAGCAAAGAGAAAACGAATAATTCCTATACAAATACACGTATATAGAAGGATGTCTAACAAACAATAAGACAAGAGCAACCATTGACAACGATAAGGATACTACTCAAGTAATGCATGCATAAAAAGAACATAGTTATTTTCTAGTATGGATGTATATAGGACAAAATAGTTTTCCTTTGTGTTTTGATATCCCTTTTGTAAACGTCGATATTATATGTCTACAAGTAAAAAGATAACTTACTATGGAAATAATCATTTTAATTTTTTTAAATAGCAATATAACTATTTGAAGAATCTGACATGAATAATGATTTACTAAATTATGAAACCAAAAGTAATACCATAAACTGTAAGAGTAGGTCGAAAATAAATATTATATTTTTCAATCATAGGGATTGTATTCCATCAACATCATTCTGTGTGTAAATTGTTGAAGTTTTTCGATACATTTAGAATCGTTAACAGAATTTGTTTTTCTCATAAGATATATTTACTTCTAGAGAATCTGCTACTTATGATAATGTTTCATCATATATATATATATGTATATATACTTAAACCCACACCCTGTATATACTGATGAAACGTATAAGATTTATCCCCAAATACTTTAGAACTTATTCAAGTACAAGGCATTTCATACATAATTAGGAAAAAGGAAAATATAAAATTTTCCTTCCTAGGAATTCGAGTTCTATGGTGAAAAAAGGAAAATTTGAAGAATTTCATCGGCAGTTAGTAATCGATAGTCAAAGTTTGAATTTTATCTTAAGTACAACTACTATTATTTTGGGAGAGCACCCCTTCGTATAATTCCCTGATCAAGATCGAAATTTCACACAGACCTCCTAGGAGTTCTTTCTTCCCACAAGTTGCTTGAGAAATTCATTTTCCAGTGTCTTTTTGGCATACACAACCTCCAGATAGTTCTGATCTCCAAATCGAATTTATATGAAAAAAAAGAAAAACTTCTTCTTTTCCTTTTTCTTAATTATACATTTCCATATTAATAAGCTGTCTAAAACAAAATCAATAAACTATTTTGGCTGATACACTTATACTGTTGTCTTATTTCTATGACGCTTTCTTCAGTATGCCAATGTGTTTAATATCTTAATATTTCCTTAATCAAAATGATTTCATCTGTCTAGGTTTTGATTTATAACATCATTCGTTTAATCTCAAGATAGTGTTATTTACAAGAATAGTTCAAGTGTTCAATTTCAGTTTCGTTGATGATTGATTATAGTTTTCTTCAACAAAAGACTATTGACCATACACAACAGGAGATTGCTTCATACAAAAAATCACTTATAGATTGATAAAACATCTTTAAAAAGTTCCGGCACATCTCAAGTACAGATCAATCACCAGCCTCCCATCTTTGACACCACGGGAGAAAAGAAACCAAGAATTCGGTTCTATTTTTGCTGAAATTGATGTTCACTAGCGCCCTCTTCTATATGACTAATCGTATTTAATTTTCGGAGTCCTTTTGACTGCAATAATGTTGCTGTAAATTAACATTGAGCATTGCTCTATTCGTTTTCTTGTTTATAAGAATTTTTTTTTAATAAAATAATTTGTTTAATCTGAGAGATGGCTGTTGACTCAACATATATGTCAGCATCTGTGAAATCCTATCCATTGTCAACGTCAGATAAATTAGCATTAAATAAAGAAGAAATAATTGTTAAAGATGATGAATTAACATGGGATGAAGAATGGCATAATTTTCGTCTTTGGTGTTATAATTCGAAATATCGTGAAGTTTGTGGAAGAGATGGTTTAGCATGGGCAAAAATAGCTCTTTTCTATTTTGTATGGTGCATGTTTATGGCTGGTATATTTGCATCGTTTGTTGGTATTTTTATGGCTATTGTTGATAAACGTATACCACCATATAGAGGAAATTCAAGTGCTATTGCTTTGGATACATCTCGACCGAATCCAGGTAAAATAAATACAGAAAGAACGACTATTTTTTCTTAAATAATTTTTTTTTATATTAAAGGTCTTGGCTTTCGTCCTCAAATAAGTGTTCAAAAAACTTTAATAAAATATCGTTCATCACATCCTGAGTCATCGGGCTATCATCATGGTTGGAGTGCATATAAAAATCAACTCGATGAATTTCTAGCTTATTATACAGAAGTTGATTCTCGATATCAACGAGCCATCGATTGCAGTGGAGTGCCCATTAACAAACTTCGTCCACAATTTTATGAAGGAAAATCATGTCGTTTTGATATTAATATGTTTCGAAACCGTCAAACACCATGTGTTACACAGCGAAATTTTGAATACAATTTTGGTCGCCCATGTGTTCTTTTAAAACTTAATAAAATTTATGATTGGGAACCAATTACATATCAAAATGCTGCTGAAGTACCCGAGCAATTTAAAGGTAAAGTGATTAAATATAAATAAATGAAATAATTTCATTGTACTATTTCAAATATTTAGCTTTATGGGACAGTGAATTTTCTGATTATGTATTAGTTGAATGTAATGGAGAAAACGATGTCGATCGAGATTTTATATATGAAATAGAATATTTTTCTCAAATGAATACAACAAGAATAGGTGGGTTTCATCGTAATTTTTTTCCATTTGTCAATCAAGATGGTTACCGAAGTCCATTAGTTTTTGTTCATTTTAAAAAAATTGAAACGAATGTTTTAATTAATGTTGAATGTCGTGCTTATGCACAAAATATTGATCATAGTGATAGTCTTGAATTTAGACGTGGAAGCGTTCATTTTGAATTAATTGTTGAATGAAAATATCATTTTTGTTTTTATTATCAAATCTCTCATCTTCATTTTTCACTTTTTTTTGTATATTTGTGCTCTCAAACATTCCATCAAAATGATCTACTTCTTTGATGACAAATTCGTCCTTTTTCTTTCTTGTGTTTTCTCATTCTCATGACGTTGAGTTCATATCTGTTTTTTTCATTTGTGCAAATTATTTACTTCTCTTTTTATATGATAGCGTCTTTTTTGTGCAACTTCTAATTGTTTTATATGAAATATTTGATATTGGCAAAAGGTAGTGAAGGATAAAAATATATGTATTGCTTTCTTTCTCTGCAACACGTTAGTAGTATTAATGTTATACTCTATGATTGATCACAAATCGAGCAAGTGATAGTCATCTTAGTTATGCAAAACAGAATGGAAAGCTGAAGGAACTTTTCATTGAAATACATGTCAAAAGTTTCGATTCATTTAAAAAATGCAGTTCTTGAGAGAGTATTATATTTTATGAGAATCTTTCAGCAAGCTTATAGATTCTATAGAACAAAATTGGCCAGCGAAATTAAGCATTACATTGTGGAAATAATTCCAAAATCAATAATAAATATAATACCATTGACTAGCGATGCTGTCAAATCTTAACAATATCTTTCGATTCATATTCACCAAGATTAGCATTGAGTTCAAGATTCAATAAAAAAAATTTTGTGCACTGTTAGTTAAACAGATCGATCATATTGAGATTCAATCAATCATTTCACTATTAAATTAATTAATTAACCGCATGAAAAGTTCGAAGTTAACAATGTCACCAATGTTTACAAATGCAATTTTACAAAAGCCAAAATCACTTCTATTACCTTTATGAAGGTGTACAGAGATAAATTAGACTTTTTCATGAAGTTGCTTTCTTTTATTAAATAGTTTTGGTAGTAAGAACATTCATTGGATCTAAATATGATTAGTCTTCGTAACCTTATGTATAGAACCATCTGTCGATTAGAGATAATGCTCTGATATGAATTACAGAAAGCAAGATCAAAATTATGTTGTACTGGAAAAAGATAGCAGTCACGAAATACATGACTTGTAAAAACATGTTCTATAACTAAATGATGGCTTCAATTAAAAGTGTTGCATCAAATGAAAAAGTTCGGCATTCTATAGTTCAGAATTTCAAACAATAATGTTCTAATCATGAGGCTATTTTAATGGTTTCAAAGGTTTGAGAAGCTAAGAAAAACTTCGCAATCGAGACATTTTCACATGTACAATAAATTTTAGTTAGTTAACTATATAGAATTCAATTATTATTATGCAATGAAATATCTTTGAACGTTTACTTAGTTTCAGATATGTTTCTCATTGATCAAATGACTTTAGACTACAGTAAAATTCTATCAATAATTCACAATTACTGAAAATATGTTACCAATTGACGATAATTTTCTGCTGTTCTTTAAAATTTCTACTGTTGACGCAGCTCAAGCTTAATTTGTTCATATTTGAATTGTGACATCAGTATCACGTAGTGCTAACTCGTTTGAATTATTTCAGATGTGAAATAACCCTGATAACTCAAGAGTTAAAGTTGATACAGTTTTTGCCGTCGTTTTTAAAGTCTATAAGATACATCGGTCGAACTTAACATGAACAAATAAATCCATCATGAGATCCATGATATATTTAAAACAATCAAGATCAGCTTGAAAATCTTAGCACGTTTTACATGTTCAACAATTTCACTTGAGAAAAATGAACAGTTAAAAATTTTCTTCATAGTGATGATCGCCAACAAATAAGAGTCCACATCTTCTATGCGATATGTAGTGTTTTGAAAGTTTTAGCAATCATTTTTGGCTCAAAACTTAATTTCACTGGGAAAATACAATTCAATAGATTGTTCCATTATTTATTTTGACGATGATAGTTTTGAAATTATGGCTGAACAATCAACCGACGCAGAAAAAAATGAATAAGTACTAGGATTAATGGTAGTACAATGATCCAATTAAAAGATCTAATACTATTTGAAACCATTAGAACGTAGCATATAAAGTTCTCATTCAATTTTTAAAAAAATATTATCGGACACCCATATTTGATATTGAATAGTGTTGAATCGGTTTTTCTATTGATCCTTGTTTTAGGCGGTAGTAAACTAACCCGATTCGAACATCATGAACGAGGGATGTCATAATATCCACAACTTGGGTATCGAGATGAATACCCAGATAGGATACCCAGTTGGATGGACATCTACGTATCCTCAGAGCTGAGGAATTTGAGTGCATTTGGTGTAACGAGAATGGGTATCGGAAATGGATACCCTATTATAAAAATACGTGACTTTATAATTATAAATAAGGAAGCGTGATGCTATGTTAAAATTTATTGTATTCATGTAGTCAGCTTTATGCCAATGTTTATCGATATGTACAGATTTGTTTAATGAGCATTCCAGATAGCGTGCAATTCCAAGTAAATGTTCGTTGAAGAACTTCATTTTTACCTGATAACAATTTATTACGACTTTCATCAAAATCACTCAAGGAAATCGGGTTGAAACTTCAGCATGCTGCGTAGTTGGTGTTGTTGTGGATCGTCACATGCATGTTATTTGAATTCTGGCTTATATTAATTTGTTTGAAGTAGGACCTGACAGTTAGAAAATTTCCGGTACCCATTCTCGTTACACCAGATGCACTCAAATTCCTCAGCTCTAGGGATATATAAAAATGGATACCCATTCTCCTTACACCAAATGCACTCAAATTCCTCAGCTCTGGGGATATATAAAAATGGATACCCATTCTCCTTACACCAAATGCACTCAAATTCCTCAGATATGAGGAACGTGGGTATTCATTTTAGTATCCATTTTAGATATCCACTTGAATGCATATCGTGACTGGTATGTCGACGATACCCAGTGTTAGGATATTATGACATCTGTGTCATGAACGAGAAACCAATCTGTCAAAAATCTTATCAATAAACTATATATCAATCATAAAATAATAGCACCAATAAAAGACCAATCACAAATGGCACTTTATTATCCAATATTTTTCTATGTTCAAAAATGAAAATACACTGAATCATGCTTTAGAACATTAACAAGCGGTAATTTATCTGCAAATCTTTCCAATTGATGTATCAGCCACGCAGAATGTTGTTTTATGCCACGTAGAAGAAAAATGGTCTTATCATTCAATGATTTTCTCGCCTAAGAAATTTAAAATAAAAATTTATTTTATCTTTTTGTAAACAGTTAATGACTGGTGTGGCAAGAATATTATATGAATCTTAGTTGTATCATATTCAGGAATATTTATATTAGGCTATAAATAAAATAAATACGTTTGATTAGAAACAATAATTTTCTCAAAACTTACAGCAATAATAGTTCGATATTTAGGATTAAATTCAAATGGTATATCATCTACCATTGATTGTAAAGATAATGTTGTACCGCTATTAAATGAATGATTGTTTTCATCAGTAAATATTGCTGAATATTTTCCGATTTGATTTTGTTTATTTCTTCTGTTAGAAGACTGATTCATCGAATAAATATTATCAAAAATAATTGATTGAATCTATTTTTCCTAACTTATAACATATCATCTTGCAATGAATGAGCAATCTTCTTCTGATCCTGTCCTATCAAATCCGAAGTTTAGCGTTGCATTTTAAATTTATACAAATCGAGTGAATAGTGAAATATTTTATGTCAGAACTCTAGTTAATAAGTATAACCATAGTATGTTTATTTCACCGTGGCATTTAAGTCATAACACAGAAAATATATCAGCAGTAAGTCTTTTTGTTTTCAATCAGCAAAGAAACAATCATTAATCAGTCGCAAATAGCCATAACCATAGCAGCTAGAGAAGAAAAAAAATCAACTTCACAGGGACAAAAGAGTAACATATTAACCGAAGAATATCACAATAACATCAGAAGAACAGATCAAAACAAAAAAAATCACTTGTGAATAAAGACAGCCCAGGTCGAACAGTACAGTACGTATACGGCCGTTGACGGTTACTTTACGGCTATCTTACGGGCGAAAGTTTGCCGTAATATCTGGCGTAGTAATACGGACCGTATTATCATGAGAGTACGGAGCACAAACAGCCGTAAACCATGAAAATTCAGTCCCGTTTACGGTGCCGTATTACTGCGCCAGGTATTACGGGCAAATACGGCCTATTTACTGCCGTAAATATACCGTTTTGACATCGTTTACCGTCGATAAACACACCGTAAACGAGTCCGTTTTGATCAGCCTGAGAGTAAACAAAACAAGACGAACAAAAATCAAACAGTTCGATATCTTGGTTACGGAGCTTGACATCTACTTCTTTCTAAATGTAAAATTGAAAATGGAATAAAAAATGTCAGTTTAATTAAAGATTAATTATTCACCATTACGCATTTCTACAAGTTCATTATTTAATTTATCACGAAGCAAAATATTTTCCATAAATCGATCAAGTTCAAGTTCAGTTAATGATCGAACCATAATTAATCCACGTATAGCATTAATATCAAAGTCCAGTTTATCTATTTTGACCACCCATTGTTCAAGGTGAAAAGAAATTTAGTTTAATAACTTGATGAAACAATTAAACAACATCAAGCAGAATTTAGCATGCTTTTTTTTATATATGATATGAATCATTTTCTCAAACATTTTTTTTATGAATCAAAGAAACGAATGGATTAATGTAACGATTATCTAATTTGATAGACATGCCGTATGCATGCAAAGAAAAACAACTATGAGAAATGTTCAAGGCGTTGGAATACGATAGTAGAGAAGAGACATGTAAAAACAAAGTACTCTCGCAGGTACTGTTTATAAACCGATACCCAGTTTGAAAATGTGTTTTAGTGAAAAAAGAGGAGTCATTCAAAACTGTTCTCCATAAGTGGTGCCAGACGTGAGACCCAAACATTTGGAAACTAGAAATCAGAATCCGACTAATTCAGAGAATTTCGTTTTGGAAATATGAGAAAATCCAGAAGCAGTTTCAATGACTGTAATTTTCTTTTCAATAAGATTATGAATAATGCGCTTCGTTATCTTCAAAAGCTAGCTTTCAACTAAACAAAAAATGACATTAAAACATATTTGAAAGAATGGAAACGTTCAAAATGCATGTTTCAACATGAATTAACACGTTGTTTTTTATATAATATTTTTTCTTGACGACAAAAAAGAATTGTTTTTTGGAAGATAGTGAAGGCATCAAGTTCTTTTGAAGCATGATATATTATGGAATAGTACACTGGAAAAGCGAAATAGAAAGTGCTCGAAATATTCCGGAGAAATTTTCAAAATACGAAATTTTTCTAGAAAACCCAGAAGATTTGGCAACACTGCTTCATACTTTTCTTGAAATAAACATCAAATAGAAAATATTCGCCTATTGAAAATGAATATGCGTGAAAAACAATGTATATACAAAACTATAAGAATAAAAGTTGTCTTTATCCAATATTATAAGAATTAGAAAAAAAAATAGCCAATGCGGTTGTATCACTCATGAAAAGTGCGTTCAACTAAGCTCAAAATTTCAATTCGAAGGGGTTGTTTTATGAAACATTTTCACACCGGATCAACTGCCATGATAATTGATACTCACAGAATAATGAAAAAAAAAGGAAATATTTCGACAGCGATGCATCCCCAGGTTGAACAGTCCGGCCTGGAACGGCCGGTTCCGGGTAGTTCCGCTGATTTTGTGGAAGCAGTATTCCGGTTGGAAAATTTTCGCATTTTTTCCGGTGATTTCCGATCAATTCCAGCCGGAAAGCACTGGAACTTGGCAGGAATTTTCCGGAAAAGTCCGGCCGTATTTTTGACCGGAATACTGCTTCCATGTTCCAGCGATTTCCTGTGTTTTCCTGCAGGATATGGTGACTTTCCCGCATATTCCCTGGAGTATCCTACGGGATCCAGTGACCGGAATGTTCGACCTGGGTCCTTTTATACGTTTATCTCTCATATATTTCTTCCAATAAGATAGTTTAATTTTTATTGAGAAAAAAATAAAAGGAAGAGGAAATATGGGTCAAAATATTTTCTGACGAGCATTGTTCTTTTGGACGGTTGTGAAATCGTAAAAAGAAACTTGTATCAGATTTAGTAGAGCATGCTTAGCAAACATAGATTAAAGAAAAATTTAATATTTAATCGCTCCTGTGTAAACAAACAGAATTTATGAAAGCAGAAAAAAATATGGTAACACTTACAAATCTCGAAATCCCATGGTTTGTAAAGTTTCTTTGAAAGTGTTGATTGTTGCCATTTCACTCGAAAAAAAATTGCTCTACCCAGGTCGATCAACTTGTGTTGTACACGGTCGCTTGACCATAATTTACGACCGTTTGGTATGCACCGCATTACGGTCGTTTTGTATCGTGCCATAAACGATCGTATACGGAAATATCCGACCACGTTACGGTCGTTAGTAACCGTTTACGACACGATTAATTACGGCCGTAATACAGTGCATACCAAAACGTCAAGTTACGGCCATTTACGGTGAGAAACGGCAGGAAACGGCAGTATACGTTAACGTTTACGGCTGTACTCGACAGTTTCTGGTAGCCGTAATGCTAGACCTGGGTAGACAACTTTTATATTGTCTCTTGGACTACGAAAACTTGATTGAAAGCTTTTAATTAATCGTCGAATAAAATCTAAATGAATTTCTTGTAAATTTCGAACCAGGACATTAACACCTGAAATGGGTTTATTCATCTCCTTCCTTGTTTGTGCATGTTCGCCTAACAGATGTCACTAGCGACAAGCACATCTCATTTCTATTCAGTTAACACAAATATATAAGATTGAACAAAAGATAGCGTAAATTCCTAAAATTGTAAGAGATATTATATAAAACAGATTGATTGAAATAAATATTAGAGTATATTTGCTTTTAAATAATAATAAAAATAGAAGAAAGCATAATTAGAATTCAAATACAACCAAAAAGGAAACAAAAGAGATAAACCGATGTGAGCACTTGGAAAGAAGTCTTGCATCTAAATATATGATTTTCAAAGAAAAGTTAATTCTTTCTAACTTACTAATCGCAGAGTAGCTGCAAGCTTTTCTTCATTGGTGATAATAATAAGTGTAAAATATGAGAAGATTAAGAAATCAAATCTATTTGTCGTCTCGATGCTCTCGCAAAGTCCTTTAAATTATACACAACTTGTCGTTCTTACATGCACTAAAATCCTGTCGCTAATGAGCACAAATTAAAGATATACGATCCTAAATTGACAGGCATTAATATTTGTTAACTTTTCAATTCGATCATTCGTTTCGGAGACAGGAAAAATAACTCGATTTGTATGGAACGTATAAAACTTTAGAAAAGTTAAATGAAATAAATCTGTTTCATCAAAGATAGGAGGAAGAACGATACAAATATAAATAGGATGAATATCTCGCATATTTCCTTTGTCAAATTATTTCATCTCTCTCATTTTTTTATCTATGTTATCTATCACGATGCCCAATAAACTTCCCCCTTTCAGTTTTTAACGATGGAGACTGAAAGAATATCTCTACAAAAGATTCGTTTTGGTCCATATCCAAGCTGTTGTTTTAATTTTACAACTTTTGTTGAGAATGATTTAGAGGGGAGAAGGCTAATTACTTTGCTCTTTTATTTTGCTGAGCTTCTATCACTCGATGGATTGACAGTAAGAGAATTATCGTACTGTCTATGTCTCATGTATCACTGTTAACGAGAATTCGTTGTTAATTGCGACTGAGCTATCATCTATTTTTTCAAAATTTCACTAATCGAAGTAAATTTTGTGATAAATTTGTTCAATATCAAATGTTTCTTTTGCGCGAGTCACGCAAATAAATTATTGTTTTAATGCATTCAATAGCTTTATTGCAGTAAAAAGGCTTTCTTTGAACTTACGAAATCTGGTTATACCGAGTAATAGATTCAAATACAAATACAAATACAACTTAAACCACCAAAATTAATAAAAGTACTTTCAATTTTCACATTAATATGCCGACGTCGGCTGGAAGTTTTTAGAAAAAATCGACAATGGATCAGTCGCATGACTTGCACTTCCAATCACCAAAATTGTTTCAGTATTAAATTTAAATCTAGTAGATGGCTGATTAGAGTTTATTTCTGCCAAGATTGTCGACTACGCGACAGAAGATTCTTTCATAAGAAATTACTTAACTGTTGGTTCATATTATTCGCCTTTGATATTGATAAAACAATTTTTTTAATTTAAGAGATATTCTCAGGTCAAGCGATTTCTCCGTTGCCTATCTTTTGTAATTTGAAGCAATCTGGAAAAATTCTTTCACGTCAAGAAGTTGAATCTAGGTGTGAACCTTCTCTGCAACACATCCACATTACATTCACTGTATCATCGCTCACGTCTGTGCGAAACATTTATTCAATACACAGTAGAGCGCGTCGAAATAAATTTTAATGCTAAATCATTATTCAATATTGTTTTATGATAATTTAAATTGTTATCAATGTAGATTATATAACATATAATAAATACTATCCTAATGATATTTTGCTAAATAGAATAGTGTAGTGGATATTGCTCTCTCTCATCGAAATAGTCTTTCACATAATTACATCTTCATTCGTCAGAAAAAAACACTTTTATGCTCAATTTTTCTATCAAAAAGTCAATACAAAAATTCACCGTTATTGATTACAACTCTCTCAAAACAAATGTCTACATTGTTGTTGTTATAGATTTCTTTCATAGTAGGATTGTTTTACTATCAAAAATAGTTATTGGTGGCATATCTATTTTTAATCTGTAAAAAAAACTAAATTTAATTCTCTCAAAAACTTTATTGGTTATATTTGAACGATAAAAAACGAGAACAAAAAAATTAGATGTAATTTATCGTCGAACAGTATTGGCTGAACCAATAGTCAAGTACAAATGTCTTAATTCAGCAACATCATTCAATGACTTTAGTTCAGCATCGTGAAAAGGATCATCAGAGTCTAGCGTTCCATCGAATGTAGCAGCTAAGTCATTAGCAGCTTTTGAATCACAGTTATTAAATGACTGATTATTTTGTTTGACTGAATCCAGCGATGAAACAGTTGAATGAATTGGCGTTGGTAAACACAATGTATTCGATGTTAATGCCGATGGACCACTAACAGGAACCGTATAACTTTGTTGATTACTAGTTGGCCAATAAATATCGCGTACAGAAGGTAGACGATATGTCGGTGAAACAGAAGGCTTCGTTGTTGTTGGAACGGGAGGAGGAGGAGGAGGAGTAGGAACAGGAACAGGAAGAATAGACGTTACTGGAAACGGTGTGATAGCAACTGGTAAATGATGTACTGTGGGTTGGGTGTTCGGTATATGTGTAAGTGGATGTAGAGTTGGAGGTGATGGCACGAGAGTTACAGGGAAATGAATATTGTCAGGCCGACTATTTGGCGATATTACTACCGAGTTAGTCGTTGGACAGCTAAATCGCAAACAAAGTATTTATATTATAGTGATTTGATATTGATTTACTTATTTGTTGTAACTGCTGATGAAGTCGATGATACTTGTTGACGCAAAGTATTCTCTTCAATCTCTTTTTTTCTACGTTGTAAATCTTCTAAAGCTTCTAATAAAACTTTATTTTCCAATGTGAAATCAATCTAAATTACAGTAATAAAGAAGAAGATAAAATTTAACTTTTTTTTTTGTTTTTGAAGAAAATTACTGGTGTGGCAAGAATATTATGAATCTTAGTTGTATCATATTCAGGAATATTTATATTAGGCTATAAATAAAATAAATACATTTGATTAGAAACAATAATTTTCTTAAAACTTACAACAATAATAGTTCGATATTTAGGATTAAATTCAAATGGTATATCATCTACCATTGATTGTAAAGATAATGTTGTACCGCTATTAAATGAATGATTGTTTTCATCAGTAGATATTGCTGAATATTTTCCGATTTGATTTTGTTTATTTCTTCTGTCAGAAGACTGATTCATCGAATAAATATTATCAAAAATAATTGATTAATTTACATTCAAATAAATAAAATTGAATATGTTTTTCTTAGAAATAAAACAAATAATTTAAATCTAAAATAATTCAAATAAAACAAATGTTTGATTTTGTTTTATAATGCATAAATAGCGATAAAAGAAAAGAATACTGTATAGTAAAACAATATTTGAAGACAATATGAGATTCACTGTTTAGTGTCAATATGAGCCAAATAATATAGAAAAATGAAGAAGAAGCATTTCCAGATTCTAATGAATACATCACTTTTTTTTATTGAAAGCGTTCACAACGAAAAAAAAGTAATTGTACTGATGTTTTAAGCCTTTGACGAGATTTGTTAGACGTTGAGTTGTATCAATTGGTGATTATCTATCTAGTTTATTTTTATTAGCAATAAGACCATGTGATTTTGAATGAAGTTCAGAAGATGGAAATTTGTACAAAAATGTTCCTACACAATATAAAAAGAAATTTATTATGTATTTCAATTTAAGACTCAAGAAGTTACTCAAGATTATTTCCCATCAAGGATAACACTATTAATATATTCTTTCAAATATTGACGAATAAGCTATCTTTTCAACAATTTATCCTGTAAACACTAAAATGTTGTCAAACGATTTTATTTCAAAATTGTTCAATCGTAATTGCAACTTATTTGTTGACTACTTTTTTTTCATGACTAACCTTCACGAAAAAAGTATCTCGCACAATATCTGTGCCATATGTAATTTATTTCTATAAAATAAAAGCCAAATAATGCTTTGGAGCTAAATCAATATTCGACTAGAAATAATCAAGACTCTCTAAAAGATTTAACATACATTTTGAAGTGTGGAATGTTTCGTTTTACGGTTCTCAATAAATGCGTATATCTTTGACTGTTATTGGTACATATGTTTGTTCTCTTTTCTCATGATCGATGCACTTGATTGCTTTTGATTTACTTCAATGCTACTTCGATTCATAAAAGCATGTGTATATAGAAAAAATAGAAAATTTTGCAATATATGAGGATTATATTAGCAACGGTTAAGCTCAAAATGTCATGCATTTCTTTATATTTGAATGCGTTACAATGATATCCTCTCGTCTAGTAAGAATAAGAAAGTTTACTCACTAGAGCTCTTTAAAAAATAGATATATATATACACATCACTTTAAATTGAAGTATTTATTGCATTTTATCTTTGACAAAACCTCATTAAAAGATCATTTTAAAGCGCGACGACAGACAAGCAATACAGAAATAATTTTAAAGCAACGTTTCTTCATGACTCTCTGTATAAAATAATTCAAAAGCGCGAATTAAAAATCTTCAACTGCTCATTTTTGAATAATCTACTTTGACATTACAGAACATTCAGTTTTTCGGACATATTATCAAGAAAAATAACATTTCTTATTTTCAATTTCTCAACGTAACTTTTCTAAGGTGAATGAATTTGTTTTCGTTTTTACTGTCTAATAAAAATGCAAACCTTGTTCATCGTAAAGAATATGTTTAAGCAGTGTATTAAGATTTGAGTCGGATGGCAATTGAAATTGTTTTCCTGAAGATCTACATTCCATTAACTGATCAAGCCATTGTTGAACTATTGCTGTTTTTATATTATGTTTAGAACTCGAGAGGAAACTGTCTAAAAATTCTTCTTTTGATTGAAGTTTTTCATATCCATACTCTAAAAATATCTTACTTGAATACTTAATAAAAATAAGCTTAGAATTTACCTTGTACAAGCATATCAAATAAATCTAAATCTTTAACAAGTTTAGCTTCAGTTGTTTTTTGATCAGCATATTCATTAAATAGTGAAAATATTTCTCTACCAACGTCAGCTGGTAAAAAAACTAGTTAAATACAACATTGCTTCTGTTTCTCGACGACGTTTTTCTGATTGTGGTATTCCATCAAATTCTGTTAAATTTCCAACAACTGATTCAGATAAATCATGAACGAGCGCCAATTTCATACAACGAATTTTTGATTCTTCAGATATAGTCGGTAATAAAAATGGCATCAAAGCCATTCGATACATATGAGCAGCGACACTTTCAACTTTGTCGGCGCCATGTATTACCCTACCAGTACGAAATATTCGTTTTGCTTGACCAACGTAAAGCAGAAATTCCAAAACACTCCCCATATCCGTATTCATCCTAATGTCAAGTTTATATATATGTCACACGAGAAACGTGTTTTTGATATACCAAAATCCAACCAAATTTTCTTCTTCTATTTGCTTCATATTAAACTACCAATAGAAATATTTGACTACTCATATATATCAAACTCTAATCAGGGTAGATTTCATTTTAATTTAACAATCAGCTAAATAAACAACAACAATCAATAACAAAATATCTCATTATAACATCGAACAACATGTTTTTGACAAAGCGACATCTATCGATTCAATGCACCAGTGAAGAAGCAAGAGGAAAGCAGCAATTCAAAATGAGCATTTCAAATGGTGATTCTAATAAAGATAGAAATAAAACAAGACTGCTTTTACAATGAAACCTTCTAGCATACATTTCTTCTTCCTCTAGCCGTTGTTCGATTGCATGTAAATTATCAGTAAGGTTCCTTATGGCGTGTCAAAAACTAATATAACCATGAATAACTATAAAAACGAATCGGTAGTTATGGTATTGTCGACGGAACAAAATACGATAACGAGAACAACAAAAGAATTACTGTATAAATGGGATTTTATTTTTATTTCTTGTTACTTCTACTCAAACACACTTTTTTACTATGTTTACAGTTGACCGACGACCAAAAGGTAATGAACAGTTTCTAAATAGAAAAAGAAGCCAGTTTTAGTTTCTAGGAATCGTTTTTTGTTGCTACTGCTTGCCTCGAGATATTTCTTATAAATATGTATTTAATAATCTAATATTTTAATTTAAATAATAAAAAACACAATAAATTAAGATTGAAATATCAACATTCTAAAATAGTTCCAATTTTCTACTGACTGATTTATTTAATATATAACAAAAATAAAATAAATATAATTTTGAAGTGATATGTTTTATCTATTTCGTTAATTTCATGATAATAAAATTTTTGATCAGTTCAAACTTTTTAGTTGCATCCATTGTGAATATGATTAATTGGTTTCGTTTGATCATAAGATTGAATAAGTTTTTTTTATTGATCTGATTTTCTACGTCATAATGAGACACAAGTGGCTCATGGTGTAAATGTCGAATGAGAAATAGTAAGAAGCTTAAAGCAGAAATCCAACGATCAAGTTTTACAACTGAAAAATCCAGAATTGATTAGTGCCTAACTTAATAGCGTACAGTTGACTACCAGTTACAAGTATAAAATTTCTATTGTCAAGTTCCTTGTATGTCATATCATTTAAGAACAATGAAAGTAGCACACTATTCATTTTTGAACTATTTTGTTAAATTTCATGATTGAGAGACTTGGTAGTATGAAATCATTTTTCATGAATAGTTAGTATCCGATATATATATATATTGTTAAGCAACTAATACAATCAAATATGGTAGAAACATTTCAAACATTCAATATTTCTACTGGTTGAAGCAACTACTGTTACAACTTATATCTCTACCGTTTTACTTTGAATCGATTATAGTGTACATTTTATTATAAAATTGAAAATATTAGTATACGAAATCCTCTTCAAGATAATACTTTTTTTTCTACGCGACTAAAGTATGTTATTAAAGTTAAGAGTCTAGTGTTTTGAATGAATTCGAGTAGTTTTTTCATTTTATTTATCAATTGTTTCCTACATTTTCTCTCTAATGGTGCTTCTTTTTCTCTCATGTGAAGAGAACAATCCATGGTTTTCATTACATGTATTTTTCTTATAGAAAAAGAATCTTTTATTGAAAGCTTTACATATCAATGCCAAAAAAAGAACTTAATCAGGAAAAAAAATCTCTTTCGAAAATGTGAATAATAAATTTTTTTCTGGTCATCAATGCATCACAAGAGAAAATTCATACGTTGCAACACATATTTCACCACATTTTTCTTTTTCTTTTCATTTTTCGTCTCTGTTGATTATGAAGTGTATCAATTAATGCATATCATTTTGAACACACTAAAGGATTCAACAATCCTTATTGATCGAAATCAGCAATATTAAGGCATCCTCTTTCTTTTACTGTTATCGAAACAAAAATCATTTTAAAAAGAAAAAAGTCTTGACATAAGTGCTTGTTTTTCGTTGACATTTCATTTGCTGTCGAATGTATGTGAGCCAAAATATATAAGCAAGCATGCGTTCGTCGTTTTTCTCTTATACTTACTATACATACAATGTAATGACGAGCTTGAGTGTTATTTCTATAAAAAATTTTAAAAAGAATTGTTCTTTATTCTTCAAAGAGAAAAGAAAAATTTTATGTATGGTTCGGTTGTATTTGAACATCTAAGGTTTCTGTAACTTTTTATTTATCTAGCATAAGTTAATGTATTTCTTAGTTGCCGAATCTATATTATTATTATCGTAGTTGTCTATCATCGAAGACGATGTAAGTTAATGTCTATATTCAATTCAATAATTGTTATATCCTAGTTTTGCCTTTCTTTTCAATTATTTTCAGTGATATTTATTGCAACATGGCCAATGGAATAAAGAAATTACCTTCCCGTGTATCATCACGTCAGATACCTCACATACGTCTTTATGATGATGGAAATCTGGAGACACGATACGAACTTTTAGATAAATTAGGTGAAGGTTCATTTGGAACTGTATGTCGTGTTAAAAATAAAGAAAACGATTTATTTTTTGCAATGAAAACAATTACAAAAAAAGTAATTGTTTTCATTTCCTTTTGGGACGTATTTATTAAGTGATGTTTTCTTTTTTTATATTTAGCCTGGCAATAAATTGAAAGCTTCAAGTCTTGATAATGAAGTAAAACTATTAACAGAAGTTAATCATACTAATCTTATTCAACTTTATGAAGTATTAGAATCATCTCAAGTAAGTTATTTATCAAATAAAAATTAAATTTTTGATATTGAAATTAAAAATAAGTAAATATCAAAATATTTACTTATTGATTAACTTATTTAGTAATGAAAAAATTTCAATGAAATTTCAATAGTAAAAACAGAAAAAAATGATCAAGTTATATTTTCAAAAATTACGATATAAAGTTAGTCTGGAAGTAAAAAGTTATAGAAATTCCGTAATCTGTGAGAAACACCGTATTGATACTAGCTTTTGGTTCTTCATATTACACACAGTACTAGGCGTCATTGAAAGAAAGATCAATAATAACACGTTACAATATATGAAATACTTTCGATTTATAGATAAATCAATTGAATATCAATCATCACTTTTTCGAACTTCTAAGAAACTTAAAAAATCTATTAATAATCTATCAATTATATTGAAATTATTTGCGATTTATTTTTTAAGAAATTGTATTTGATTGTTGAATTATGTGAAGGTGGTGAATTAGGTGGATTTGTTAAAAAGAATGGTCCATTACCGGAAGAAACAGTCAAACAAATAATGTCAAACTTAATAAGTGCATTACATTATCTTCATAAAATGAGTTAAGTCAATTCTGTTTCTTGTTTATCTATTCATTATTTTCATTTGTATAGATATTGTGCATCGTGATCTTAAGTTAGAAAATATTTTATTGAAAAATTCTCCGAAAAATAAAACCGATCAATTCGATATACGAGTATATTCTTACTTTTTCTCAATCAAAATAAATAAGGCGTAGAAAATAATTTTTCTTTAGGTTACTGATTTCGGATTAAGTTCAAAAAAAAGTATTACTTGTACTGATTCACTTTTCAATGAATATTGCGGTACACCGCTGTAAGTTAAATATTTAATTGTTGTTCAATATGCAATAATTATTCATTATAAACTAGTTATATGGCACCTGAAATATTAGAAAACAAAAACTACAGTGCACTTTGTGATGTATGGGCTATGGGAGTGATTATGTATTATTTGTAAGAAAATCAATTTGTTAAATATTTTGAATATTTTGATATATTCAATAGAATTTGTGGCCGCCATCCTTATGTTGCTAATGATGAACGACGGTTACTTGAAATCATTCGTTCACAAAAACTTCGATTTGATTCGGACAAATTTCGAAATATTTCATCGGAAGGTTGTGTTTTTTTAAGTTAATATTATATACATCAGATCCAAGAATAAATTATTGCTTTTTGTTTAGGTCTAGATTTTTTGCAAGGAATGATTGTTTACGATACAGTTCATCGTCGAACAATGGGTGAACTTACTGTACATCCTTGGCTAACGGTATGTTTTACTTAATAACCTAATTTCAACTTTTTTCAATATAGATAAAAATATTTAGGGTCGATCCGATAAAGAACCGGCTAAAGATATAATAACAATGATGAAAGAATTTCAAGCGGAAAATGATCAACGACAAATATCCATTGATAATAATTTAGCAGCATTAATAAATGCAACTGCAGATCATATGAATGAATCACAAATATCAAATGATCAATCAAAATTGGTATCTTCATCGATTGCCCACAAACTAGAACCATTTAATAGTGACTCGAATCAATGTAAATCTAATCTAAATCCACCGGATCTGCGTTCTGTTGTTGATAAAAATAAATTAAGTAGCAGAACAACACATCGATCTTCAACCGATGGTCTTAAGGTAAATTTTTTTCTTGTATGTACATATTTTCATGTTTTGTATTTCAGACATTTCGAAGTAACACACATGATATGAATGGAAATTCATCGAAACTTCATATAAGAAGTAAAAAAATTGATATGGTAATTATATTCTAGATTCTTCAATATCTATATTAATTTATATATTTTTTTAGACAACAGATTTAATTGATTCAAATCAAAGTCGTCAAACATTCAATTCTTCTTCATTTTTGTCCTCGTCGACAACTTTATCAAAAATACGACCAAGCAACGTTCGACTTGGTCGTTCTCAATCTCAAGCTGAGATTATCTTATCTTCGAAATATTCATCACCGCGCCAACAACAGTATCGCCGTACTGTATTGAATGATTCAATTAATATTGGTGTTACACCTTCTTCAGATGTTTTAAATCTACCATCAAATAGCAGTACCATAGCAAATCTTCCTAACAGTTCACCTTCTTCGACGGCTACTGCTCTTATGATGATTAATAAACATTATTCAAATAGTCCATCATCATCATCGTTACCAACTATGTCTCGTGATCACCATGACAATACAAAAAAGATATCTTCGTATGATAAACGGCATAGTAATGATTTATGATATAATTTCATTGAATGTAATTTTCTCTATCATATTTTTTTCTGATTTTCTTGTTCTTTTATTGAATGTTAAATTCTTCTTTTTCTTTTGTCGTGCGAGAAATCAAATTGATTTATGATGAAAATGGAATATAAATTATATCCTTGATACATTCTTAATTAATCTGCTCAGTTCATATTTGGCAAGCACTATTTTTTCTATTGTCTCTTTCAGGAGAAATCCTCAATTCCAATGACACATGAAGATTCTTATGAGTAATAATATGTACGCCCACTAGATGATGCTCGTATATGACGATGATGTTTAAAGAAAACAAAGGAATAACATTCTCATATAATATTTTTTTGTTTGAATGCACTTCAAGAAATATTTTCTAATGTTCTCGGTCATTCTAAACTGTAAAAAATGAAAAGGATGCTTCACATTTTATGTTCTTAATTTGTTTCGATGAATATTAAATAAAAGACAAGTAGAATTAAGTATTATATCAAAGTTAAACCCTATGGGTTTAGTAAGTTTGATATGATGAATCAATAATAATTATTAATTCGTTGATAGATAATGAAAGATAAAACAATTAATTAAAAACTTTATCCTACAATTTTTGCTGATACAATTAGATTCATAATTGACACAAATGAAGCAACAAAATCGTGTGCACGATTTACCATCCGAGGATTTACCACCCGAGGATTTACTGTCCGTTGATTAGAGAAATTTTATTCCAATTAACGTTATTTTTATGCGAGGATTTACTGTCCGTTGATTGTTTCGAAGATGAGAAATGAACAAATGAGTAATATTTCGCCAATGAACGTTTCCGATAAACAAATTAGAAAAATTTTTTCGAAAAGAAGATTCATCGACGAACAAACGCATTGAATTTTTTAATTGATGAGTAGTGCTCATCAATTCGAGGGCTAAAATAGTCCTTAGTACGATAAAAGTTGTAAAAATGTATATAAGTGCTGAGATTACCCTCTTCTTTCTCATATTGCTTTTGCTAGATTAAGAGATGATATGGGGGCTCCAGCTCGAAAACGGCGTAAAAATAAAGTCATAACAGATGTGTGTTTAATAAAATTATGGCAGCGTTATGATGAAGGTCTTCTTGACATTCCATCATTTTTGAAAGCTGCTGGACTTAGATACTTTCAAAGACCACCAAAACGCTAAACATCGATTCATCTTTGTTTTCTGTTAATGGTATATTTATTGTTTTTCTTATTTGTTGGTATATTTATTGTAATTCTTTTTTTTTTGATAATATATTGGTTATCGCAATTAGTATTCTTTTATTGCTTTCTCTTTCGTCGATATAATCAACGGAAAGTAAATTCTCACACGGAAAAAACACTAATTGAAAAAAACATTTTTCTAATCAACGGACAGTAAATCCTCACGAGGAAAAGTTATATTTTTTCGAGAAAAAAAAAATTAAAATCGAAAAGCAATCAATGGAAAGTAAATCCTCGGGTGGTAAATCGTGTAAACCGAGACATTTTTACAATTGAAAAGAACTGTATTGAGAAGCATGGTGATAATTGCAAAGCAATTGAACTACATCAAACATACATATTTGATTGATAGTATGTTCAACAATACCAACTATATTATTTATTCCAATTTATTGATTCGTAATATATATATATATATAAAGATGGTTTTTTTCACAGTCGAGAAACAAAGTTACAACAGTTAAAAGAACTAGAATAATTTTTTTACATATATAGCAATTGTCAATGTTATTTCAAATATCAGAATTTTTTTTTCTCCTTTTTTGTCTTCAATATTCTCATATATGCATATATATTAACGAAAATTGATGTCATTTTCATGGTTTTTAGTTTACTATTCAATCGAAAGCTTACATGTACTATGTATGTTATTATTCGATAGCCACTGAACAAATGGAGCAATATACGCGAAACATTGTATTATTGAGTTCATATAACAGATGTTCAAGCATTTGTTTTGTGAATTATTATTGATTAAACCAACTACACTTTTATGTGTTACAAGTTAATCAAATTCTAATTGATATACTGTCAATGCAGTCGTTTCATGAGAAAGTACCTTTTGGGGCTCTAACTGGCCTCGGATTGCAAGTTTTCGAAAATGTAGGAATTAGCACAGGATCAAATTTTTTAAAAATACAGGAAAAGGTGTAAAAAATCAGAAAAAAATAGGATATTGAAAATTCGTTGTTTAGATTCGAATTAAACGTTGTTTTAAACTTTTCCTGCATCAACTTAACATATGCACGAAATTTTTGTCAATATTTCATTTTAATTCTTTCTTAAATTAAATTAAGTGAGTCAGACACAATTAAATTCAATCGAAATAGGTTTATTTACATATTAATAAACTAATACAAAATAAATCAGGTGTGGATAATGGTTTGTATTGTGTTTATACTCACATCAACCTACACTGACACCGAGTATGAAAATTTTCAAAGATCGCATTTTGAGTTTTTTTAACCAAGAAATGTTTTCAAAAAATATCAATGATAGATCGTTAGTGGTAGAATTTCAGTCTCTACAAGCCGGTCTATTTTGTTTTCACTTTCGGAGCTAAGCACAATGTAAACTCTTATACACTTTCTAACTCAATTTACCGTTTATGAGCTTCCATACAGATATATCAATTTCGTTTTTGTGTATAACGATTAGTTACAAAGAAAAGACTATTACTAATAAAAATCAAATAACTCTGATCATGTTAGTGCTTCAAAATTGGTGAAGAAAAACTGTACCTCAGCGTTAGTAAAAATGTCACGTTGTTTTCCTGCACTTTTTATCTAAGCAAAAATAGCTTGGAGAAAACGATTTTAGCGTTTTAAAGCCTGGTCAAAAAGCACTACAAAACTAACTCGAGAAGGGTTTCATTTGGAGAAATAGTTGCATAAGAAATTGCAGCTTATTGGTGGCCCTGAAGAAAAGGGTCTTTTTATGTCACAGTCAAGCAGCCAAAACTCCTCTCTATAACCAAGAGACTTAATTCAAAAATGGTCATTTTATGGCATAAACATATCATGACAAGTTGCATCAAATCACGTTTGAACGAACTTTCGAACTCACACAATTTCCAAGATAATGAAAAAAAAAGTGTGTCAAAAAAAAAGTCACAGTGTTACGCTTGAACAAAACCATTTACGAAACTGCATATGATAGGCAACAATAAAAGCTTTTAAAAAACACACAACTATTTATAAAGATTATTTTACTTTGTTTGAATACCTTTACTTAAAATAGTCAGTTTTTTTTTCATTTAGTTCGTTTGATAATGTGAAAAAACATTGTAAATAAAATAGTCCCTGTAAAAAAATTCTAAGAATACAAAAGAATCAATAATTATCGAATAGATTTGTTTAAAAAACACGAAAATTATACTAAAACAAGAGCGTTTTTCAGCAATTTCCTATCTTTTTTCATTTTTATAGGAAATACAGGAAAATGCATCGAAATCTAGGATAAAAATAGGAATTTTTTTAAATATAGGAAATATAGGACGAATCCGAGGCCAGGCGGCTCTAATGGTGCCATTGGAAGTATATATAAATCAACATCAAAAAAGTCTGTGACATTTTTATGAGAATGAAATTAATGAAACGAAAAAATGAATTTTACCTAATACACTATTAATAGAACGATTATTAAATGCTTCATTTTCGGTCGAGTCAAAATATCACTTTATAGGCTAGCCTATAAAAAAAAAATAACAAGAAACATTAACTTAAATTCAGATTTTACTGAAACACGCGACATGATTACAAAATTAATATCGTTATTGTCTTTTATTTTTTCATTTTCATTTAGTTTATTGATATCATGGAAAAAATCAGTTATCAGTTGCTTCTCATATTTATTGTTTTCTAATTTATGTATCAATATAAATGGAACATTATGCGCAACACTCGCTAATGTAGGATGAATACCATCTTCGATTTCTTTCATACATCTTTTTACTTCGTTTTCAAATTTTAAGACTGATTTTGTTCCAAATCTTTTTTTAAATTCTTTACGATCACCATATAAATCTTTTTGAATTTGTTCAACACTTGTACGATGTAAATATGCAACTATATCAATCATCAATGATTCGCGGCGAATCATTCGCCAAACTCCTCCTGTGCATCTAAAACAGCTGCAGCTCTATTTTGAACACGTTGATGATGGATACTGAGATGTCCATTGTTTTTTAAATTATTTACAGTACGAATATTAACTTTAACCATTTTGAATTTTATTTAGATTATCTGAAAGTTGTAAAAATAAATCACTATTTTCGAGGAGAATCTGATTTAACAATGCGATGCAATAAATAGCAAAACACGAGTGAATCGAATGACTCATGTAGTTCCACTTGTTATTTCATGGACGACAGAATAGAAAAAAATAGACGCGTAAGTATAATGTACGGACTCATTTTCTATTGGTTTATTCATCCCATATGAAGTGAGCCACATTTGTTTGGCTACCATGTTTGGTTCACTTTCTACGACCGCTATCTATCGACATGGGTGGTTTGTTTTTCGAATACTATAATGCAGACCAATAGAATGATATCATGGATGACAAAGACATGATATAGTTATAAAGGAGAGTATTAACATCATCACATTTCATTCTATCATGTGTATCACTCAGGTTAGTTTATAAATAACTTCTCTTTTTCAGATAGTGTTGAGTGATTACATTAACTACGTCCTGAATGATGTCGAATGTGTTGAAGACTAGTCATCAACAAGTAAGAAAAATAATGAAAGAAATCTCATTAACTTTGTATTTTTAGAATAAGCCCGTCGAAGATCCAGCAAATGATTACAATCAGTTAAAACTCGAAAATACACGTTTAACCAATGAACTTGAAATATTGAAAGTGGAAATGAAAAAAATAGTAGATTTAATGCAAAAATTTAAGGTTGACAAAGGCAACCAAAGTGAAGATATAGTTAACTTGGAAAAAAAAGTAAAAGACTTAAAAGCAAAATTAGATTATTGTCGTGAACATGGAGTTTATGAAGATGATTCCTCGAATTCACCACCTCTTATGAAGAAATAAAATTTCTTTAAGTATGACTAAATCAATGTTACGAAAAACTGTTTCCCTGTTACGATGTTCCTCTATTGAAAGATGATAATACCGCTATTGTTAACGCCAGTACTTGCTATTTGTTGGCAAGTTTTCTTCACTTTTTTTTCATTTGTTGATGCACTTGTTCATTGTTTTTCCTCAGCTGATATAAGTGTTCTTTTTCTTTCATGTGTTGATGCACTTGTTCATTGTTTTTCCTCAGCTGATATAAGTGTTCTTTTTCTTTCATGTGTTGATACAATTGTTCATTTTTCTCTTTTTTGTGTTACATACTGTACGATAAAACAAATGAGCAAAAAATAAAGGAACCAACAGATGAAACCTTTATGATAATGAGGAACTTCAATCATTATACATACAAAAAGTTCTAATGTAATCAAAAGGGTCGTGTGAAGTGAGCCAAAGTCAGCGTCAGCCGGTTGAGATAAGCTGCACATACTTCGACGTACACACACTTTTTCTCCATTGCAATAAAAATAATCTAAGCCTCTATTATATGAGAAAGAGGGCGTTTGAAACAAGAACATGCACATACGTGTGAATGAATGTAAGAAAAACTTTTCAATTGTTTTGGCAACAATATGAGATGAATAAAGTAATTAAACGAAGGATTAACTATTAATAATGAAGAGTATTTTTTTTATTTTATGGAAAATACTTTCATCAAAACATATCATCAATTAAATAGTGTCAAACTAAATGAGTTATAGGTGAAAAATACCTATTTTTTTATTATTTTTGTTCTTTCGGATTCTTAATTTTCATCACAATCATCTTTCGATAGGGTTATTCATCTATAATGTGTACAGAGAGACACAACAAGAAAAAAACCTTGCTAATCTTTGAGATCAATGTTGTCCAAAACTTTTTAATAAAAAAGGAAAAAAAATTGTTTGACAGATATATATTAACCGAATAATGGAAACTTGAATGAATTCAAATAAATTAAAATTTTTTCTGGGTCCCGCTTTTCATGATTTAAGAAGAACCACTTACGTAGTTTTTATCAATTCAGTTATAAAAACAAATGTGTTTCAAAAAAGTTTACTATCTCATTTGATTGATCTTAACAATTACCGACAGGATTTGACAAGAAATATAATTGAGAGAAAAAAAATAGCAGCACGTATATCATTTTTTATGCCCGTACGCTTATATAGATCATTGTGATCTTGATTACAAAATTCTCTCATCCTATCCACAATCATCCGTTTCCTTTGTTTTGATTAAAAAGCTACTTTTTTTCTGAGAAAATATTTCACAAATCAATATTCCAGAATTGCTTACTATTATTTTTCTTTCTTGTGATGATAAATTTGATTTGTCATCTATTGAGTTTTATGAAACAATCAAACATGATGCAACCATTAACGCAACAAGTCGCACAATCAATCAGGAACTGTTAAGTTCTTTTTATACTGAAATACTTGATCTCAAATACGAAACATTTAAATTCTTTTTGCGATTTGTTCTCTCAACTGAGTTTTCGAGTTATTTTCCAAAATAGAACGCTATTAGATTACTTTTCTAATGCCTTTTCTATCTCCCATTGCTCATGTGAACATGCGCTGCCATGACAAACAAATATACAAATAAAATAGTAGCTGATTGTTATGCGTTCGATAATTTTAAGACGACTTTTGGAAAAAAATAAAATAATTTTCGTCATGACAATGGAATAGTTTTGAAAAAAATAACAAATAAAGTAGTGCTTAAAAATCCAACTTTTTGTAATCATATTTGAATCGAAATCATTTGAATCTAGTGTTCAGATTAATAACTAAGTTTCGTATCTTGATCAAATGTATGACTATTCAATATCAATACGGATTGAATTGATCAAAATAGCTTATCAAACTTTTCTTTTTTTTCAAATCCTTTGAAAGTTTATTTCAGTCTTAAGTATGAATTTCTTCTAACACCTATAAACGAAAAACTAAATTTGAGAAAAGAACATTCAGATTAATGTATCTTGGAGATATTATTAGATTGGCATCTATGTTTCTTGCTACAAAATCACCGGGCTAATTTGCTAAATAAATCAAGGAATCATTAAAATATTGAAATACTTTTTTTTGAAAAGGAAAGGAAAGTTCTGTTTGAACTTCGTTCTATCGATCATCATCGTATAAAAACACTGCACATGCACAACACGTGCTATACTTTTTTTCTTTCTGTATCGTATCGAATGTTGAATGCAATGTAGGGGCGTAACCAGAGGGGGGCTAGGGGGGGGGGGGGGGGGGGGGGCGGGGGCGGGCCCCCCCCCCCCCCCCCCCCCCCCTACGGAAACTTTAGACTTTCATTGTAATGATAGATGAATCAATCATTTGAGAATAAATTATTCGGTGTACTATGCCAATTAAATATGATAAAAGGGCAATAGCCAATTTTTGTGTTCTTTTAACTTTTTAACGTGTATAATAATACATAAATATACACCAATTAGTGTAAAATCAGAGCAATGCATATCTTAAAAAAAGCTAATAGAGAAAAGAATGTTTAATTTGATTGCGTTCTGTGAAGTATGAATACTTTTACACACACATTTCGATTTCGAGTTAATCTTGTTCACCAGTACACGATGGAAAGCGTTAGCTATGTTGAACGATAGTAAAAGAAAAAGTCTTGATTCTTATTTTTCTTTATCTACTGAACAAAAAGAGTAAATCTTCTCACGAACAAAGAAATGATGCTAATAATGAAAATGCTATTATACAGTCATGCGACTCACATACATCTCGTGTTACTATTGATATTGATGAACCTATTGAAATACCATCAATAACATCGTCTCAAAACATCAATATTGAAAATCATAAAAAACTGCAACATGCAGAAAAAACAATAATAAAACTACAGGGACGGCGCGAAGGAGTAAAAGTATAGGGGGGGTTACTTGAAAACGGGAGGTTTTTTTCTCAAAAATCGGAGGAAATCAATAAAAATCTCTTCAATTTTCTTCAAGTCGGAGGAAAACTGAAGTCAAAATTTCCAAAGTTGGAGGGGGAACCCACCGCCCTCCCCCGTTCGCGCCGTCCCTGTAAAACAATTGGTAATGTTATTGATATTAGTATTTCATGCCAAGATCGACCTGCTCAACCTAAACTAAGCTCATATCCAAAAAATCATAAAAACAGATCATTCATAGCAAATTGGTACGATGGAAGACCATGCTTCGAGTACTCCATTTTCTAAAAACGAGGGGCAAGGGGGGCCCCCCCCCCCC